TAGAGTTTTGCTGTTACTGTTATTAACAAATAATAATGATAATAATTTTAGTAAGTATTAAAATAAGTTGGGTAACTTTTATTTTTTAATTGAGAAATATCAAAAGAATTTTGTCTCGTATTATAATGTAAGTTTTTAACAAATAAATAAATTTTGTATATATTAAAATTAATGTTTTAAAAACAATAAATTCTAATTTAGTAATTGTTTAAATAATTAAATTATTAAAGAAGTTTATTTCATTTTTTGAAAATGATAGAATTTGACAATTAACTTTTTTTTATAAATCATATTTTTATTTAATAGAAATAAAATAATTTTTTTTTACCTGAAAATAATTTTTAAATGAAAATTTAATTGAAAAACGTAAAAAAAAATTATATTTTCAGAATTGCCACAAGTCAGAGAAGTCAGGAAATTTAAAAAAAAAATATTTTTTGCCTTAAATATGTTTAAAGGGAGGGATCGGTGAAATTAATGTTGTCAATTTTTTTTTCTGGCATTATTTGAGATCTAAAATTATTGTGAATTATTAAAAAAAAAAAATCATGAAAAAAGCCAACAAAAAAAAATTGCCAACAAAAATAATAAAAATTGTAGAGGAAGTTTAATTTTAAAGGAATAATTGTTAAAATTGAAACCAAACAAACATAATTAATTTTGTTTAGGGGTAACAATTTAAAAAAAAAAAAAAAAAATTTCGAACCTGAAATCACATTTTACCATGATAAATGAAAAAAAGTCATTTACAACAATTTTACAATTTTTTTTTTATTTTTCAGAAATTTTATTGTTTTGGAAAAAATTAAATTTTTCAAAATCCATACGATCCAGCTGATAAATTAAAATGGTTACGATCATGCATAATTTTGAAGATGTCAATTTGCAGTCTTTTTACAAAATTGTCAAAATTTACATAATAAAATATTTATTTATTTATTTAACATATTTACGGGCAGTGCCCTTTCGTACAGTTGTACTTATAATAAAGGATTTGAAAATTAACAAAATATTGTTTCAATTGAATATTTTTGCCATTGTAAGATATTTCCATTCTCTTTACGATAAAGCCGTCAACTTTACGAAAAAAAAAGTTTTTCTTATTCAATGAAGATAAATAAAATAACTTCCGCTTTACCCGACTTATCCTTGATATAGTTATTAAGTGGGAAATTAAAAAAGAGTGTTTTAACATTTGTTGACAGCTATTAGAAAAAAGAATAATAATTATTAAAATATATTTAGAAAAATATGGAGAATAATATATTTATTAATTTTTAGTAATTTACAGGCAATATTGACGAAAATGCTAAGTAAATACTAACACTTTCTTTACAAAAATAATATCTGTCACGCGCCACTAGACTTCGAAATCCAACGAAGATGGGCTTGACAGCTGTATGTATGTACATAGGTAAAGAAACCAATTTATTAAACCTTGGAATACTTGAAGTTTTTTATTAAAAAAAAATTATATAATAATAAAATGTTTGGTCTGTCCTTCTGTCCTAACTTGAAGTTGGCCTTTTTCTGATTTCACGTATTTTTTTGAATAGTAATCTTATGACGTGTGAAATTTTGACAATTCTTTTACTCATTTTTGCCAAAGTTGTATAATTGTGTTTCCAAATTTCGGAATAAGTTTCTTTAAAATTCGAAATTCGAAAATTCAATTCACGAAGCTGAAGTACACAACGTTTACCAACGAAATTTTTTTTAAAGTTGTATATTGATTCAAAAATTGCATGCAAATACAAAAAATTTATGATGAGAAAAAAGATGCGCCAGGAAATTTCGTACAAGATAGTAATATGAAAAAAATTTATTTTTAAAAATTAATTTTTAAGGTACCAGGGGCCAACGAATATCTATTAAATATTAATTATAAAAATACAGGCCTCGAATCAACTTAAAGACACAAAAAAGTCGTTTTAGTCGATTTATATTAAAAAAAAAAAGTGGATTTGTTTTTTATTTTAACAAAAATATTTTACAGATTTTTAAATAAAAATTTTTTTTTAATAATAATATTTTTCGAAGGGTTAAAGTTGAAATTTTTAGAAATAATTAAATTTCAAAAGATATTGTAAATTTTCAAACAATTATTAAATTTTACAGAACTAAAAATAATTTATCAAACAATTTTTGGAAAACATTTTTTAAATTTAATTGAATTTTCAAAGATTTAAAATTGAGATTTTTGAAATTAATTGAAACTTGAAGTGTTTTATAATTAAAATTTTAGATAATTTCACTAAAAATTTATTAGAAAATGCGGACAAAATACAATAATTTGAAAAATGGTTTCAGATAGTTGAATTTTCAAAGAATATTATTAAAATAGTTAAAAATAATTGAATTTCCTTAGAGTTATAATTGAAATTATTAAATTTCAAAAAAAAAATTTTCGATTGAAAGTTTTAGAAATAATTTAAATTTTAGATGCTTTTAAATTCAAATTATTGAAAATTCAATTAATTTTGAATTTAAATTTTTGAGAATAATGAAATTTTATTTGATTTTAAATTTGGAAAATAATTGAATTTCAGTTCATTTTGAATTGAAAATTTTGGGAAATAATTGAATTTTAATTGAAATTTTGGATAATAATTTAATTTAAGTTCATTTTTGCCCGTATATTTTTTCTAAATAAATTATTTTTGATTGAAAATTTGGATAATTAATTTTGAATAGAAATTTTAGAAAATAATTGAATTTTATTTCATTTTAAATTGAAAACTTGGTAAATAATTAAATTTAAATTGAAAATTTTGGATAATTATTGGATTTTTAATTGATTTTGAATTAAAATTTCGGGTAATAATTGAATTTTAGTTTATTTTGAATTGAAATTTTTAAAAAATAATTCAATTTTATTGTGATATTTTTTTTAAATTATAAACAATTGTTAAATTTCATAAAAATTTTAATTGAAAAATAATTTTGATATAATTGAATTTGTGATGTATTTCATTAAAATTATTAAAAATAATTAATTTAGTGATGAATCATTTTAGTTCAAAATTTGTTAAAAAATTGAATTGAAGAAGATCTGAAGAAGATATAAATTTAATACTAAAAAAATGTATCCGAGGCCTGTAAACATATAATTTTCATTATTATCATTTAATATGTAATAATATTCTAATAAATTAAATTATTATTGATTATATGAATCTTTAATTTCTTTATAACAAACAATTAAATACTCAATTTTGCGCGCTTGCGCGCGTTTAATTTTGCTAGTAATTAATAAAATAATAAAAAATTTTTTTACGATAGTAAAATTTTGATTGTTATTTAATTTTTATCCAAGTAGAAAAATACAGTTCTGTCGGGCATCTAAATTTCTTTTTAACAATAAGAAAAGATGATTTTGAATCGACAATAGAAAATTGAATTTTTTTTAGGTAAAACTGGTTCAATCTGACTGTAATTGTTTGGAATTTTGAAAAAAAAGGTAATATTACAGAATAGGGGAGAGTGGTCCTATTTTGGCCCTGTGGGTAAAGTCGGCCCCCCCGCATTTCTCAGAGCTGGCGTTCGCGTCGAATTAATAATTTTAAACAAACTCCTTTTTTACATAAACTAAAATAATTATTTTAGTGTTTGTTAATATGTCACACCACAAAATTATTAATTCGAAGCGAACGCCAGCTCTGAAAAACCCGGGGGGGCGGACTTTACCCACAGGGCCGACATAGGACCACTCTCCCCTAAGCAATATTACCAAAAATAAATTTTAATTTAAATATAATAATATTTTAATTGGCTTAGATATTTATTATTTTCTGCCTTTTTAATAATAAAAAAAACACACTATTTTTTTTATTAAAATGTATATTAAATTTAGTTAAATACTAAATTTAATAACTTCTTAGAGATATAAAAATGTAATAAAATTAAAATAATTAGATTTTTTCTCCCTCATTCTCTCACACTTTAATTTTTTATTCCATATTCAATGGAAAATGTAACATTATATAAAATAAATCAATATTTATAATTATTTTGAATCAATATAATTATATTTAACGAAATATCTATATAAGCGATTGTTAAATAACATATTGGACAATTATTAATATTTAATTTATATATAACACAAAAATGTTCTATTTAAGCATACTTCACGTCAAAAACGTTCTTCATAAAATTCAAAATATCCTAAACAAACTAGCAGCTAGAAGCGTAATTTTTTTTTCACCACAGTCAGATAAGTTTGGAAAATTGAACAAAGTGGTTGTGCACAATGAAGTTAATAAGTGTATGTATTGTTAGTTACTTTCTATGGACGAAATTCCTAGGAATATCTTCAACAAATAATTCTTATGATGGATTGATAAAATACCTAAACAAAGAGCAACCTCATGAGGTGGTATTTGTTCTCGAAAATGAACTGGATGATCCAGTAATGAATTCTCTTATGACAGCAGTTAATATGAATTACCCATCTTTGATTATGACCTACGATAAAATAAATATTGTAGACCTAAACGTATTCGAAAATGATTTTTATTATAAATTAGGAGAGTCAACACTTTTTGTTCTTCAGAATAAAACTATCAATTTTAAACATATGCTAAGAATGTTATCTTGGCGTCATAGTAATAAAATTTTAATTATAAATTCTTTTCTTTCGAGTCAAAATGATCTTAACGATACCTTAAAGATCCAATGGGAACAAAATAGTTTAGATATTTCTGTATTGTCACACAATCATCAATGGAAAGTTATGCTTAACGCAAGTCATAAATATGAGGTACCTTTTATAAGCCAAATAAACCCTTTAACTGAAAAAGTTTCCTTTGAGAATTTGTCATTTGAAAGCCAATGGTTTCAAAGTAAATTAAATAGTATCCATCATTTCAACTTAGAAAATATTTATGAAATAATTTTTTTTAATACATCCCATTTCAAAACTTTAGACAGTGAAAATGTCATGTTAGGATTAAAAAATTTTAAATTTGTTATTCCAAAGACGTTAAAACACTCTAATGACATGAGTCTGTCTGAAGAATTTTGGTACTTGATTTTGGGAACAATTGGCATGATTGGCATCATTCGATTAACAGCTTTTTATATGAGATTCGAGAGGAGTACATGGCAAATATTGAACATCTTTCAAATTATAATTGGAATGTCTACTGCCCGTGAACCGAAAAAATTTGTGGAAAGAATAGTTTTTGGCTCACTATTGATAACATGCGTCGTCTACTCTGGTTATTTTTATTCAGTTATTTTGGACATCACTTGGCCAGTAATATCCGAAATAAATACTCTCGAAGAACTTGCTAATTCATCTTTAACACCGATGGGCATGCGCGAAGATTTAGGTCCATTATATACATTATGTAGGAATAATTTAATTATTGAAAAACTTTGTTTAAAAATAGATTATCTATATACGATACCTGTCTACTACAATGATTATTGTATGACATACTTGACTGAACATAAGAACATATCTTGTCTTTTATCGAATGCTGAGAATGTTGTTAATGAGTACAACTCTAAAAATGAGGCAAATATTAAAATACTGGACGAAATTGTTTTTCAAGATTTCATTACCTACACTAATTTGTTGAATGTTCATAAAGATCTCCCTAAAAAATTAATTCGATCTGCTTTTGAATTTGGGCTACTTAAAGAACTTTTACCGTACAAAGTACGGGAAACCAAAATTTTGCCACCAGAGGTAATTGAGAAGGAAAAACTATTCTTCGTACTATTTCGTGTATTAGCTATTGGATATTCTCTCTCTTTGATTTCTTTTCTGATTGAAGTTTTCACTGCAATATTTGAACGCAGAATGTATACTCTTTACACGAGATTTAGATTTGCAAATTAGAGAGACATATATTCTGAAGCAAAAATAATAATTCTTCAATTGGGGTAAGAATAGTTTACTTATTTATATATTTTTGTCTGAAAAGAATAATTATCAATAATCTTTAACATCATAACATAAAAATTAGAAATAATAAATTAACTTAAATATAAGATAATAATAATTTAGCACTGGAATAGTACTAAAATATTATTTTAATTTTTCTATTTTATCTAATGTTATATATAAATATATCATATAACTTAAAAATTACAGATTATTTCTATAAAATGCAAATTCGTAGCAGAAAATGATTAAGAAAAAATTATTTTCTTGGGCCAAGATGTCGAAAGTCGAAAGAATTGAGAAGACGAATTTTTAAGTACCCATATATTTAAGTGGGTTTTAATATTTTGCATGGATGTGCTTTCTGATATTTATTTTGTGACGTTATTTGAAGAGAGGATTTTTAATTTTTGGTTCAAAACTATATAATAGAATGTTTAAAAAATGAATATGAAAAAAAAATTTGTAATGTTTTTCTCTGTTCCTCTAAATTTGTTCCAAATTAAAAAAAAAATACTCGTATTTTTTTTAATCCGAGAATATTTAGGGGTCACTAAATAAATGTGAATTAATTATTATTATTATTTAATTGTAAAATTAATTTAAAAAAACATTAATCCATGATAAATTTAATAATTTGTTAGTAAAAAATTTTTTTTCATGAAATTCTTTAAAAACTATCATAAAGAATATTAACAAATTATAAAATAAACTATGAATTACTAATTTTTACACCCTTTTTGATTTGAAGCAGAACAAATTTTTAATTAATTTTTTGACAATTTTATGGGCTTTCATCAACTTTAAAATATTTTGCAATTTGAAAAAAATTATGAATATTTTTTTTTATTTGGGGTAAATTTACCTAAGGTGTTAGAGAAAAAAATTTCTGACTTAACAATTTTAAGACCACATTATTGTGTAGTTTGCTTATTGTAGTGGAAAAATACACTCTTTCTATTGTTTTACCAATTTAAAAAAAAATAATTTGTATTATTGAAATAAGTGTGATGATAATAAATTTATGTCTATTTACTTTAATTTACTCTAACATACAATATGTGTACAAAATATAGATTAAGGGGAGGGACCGCTGAAATTTTAACACATCAAAATTAAAGCTGTTTAAGGGTGGTCAATTTTTTTTCTGACAATATTAATTATTTAAATGTATAATATATCATGAAAAATTGAAAAACTATAAATTTGTTAATAATTTTTAAAATCAAATTCAAAATTCTCGAAAATTAAAAATTTAAACTTCTCTCACAATTTTAATTATTTTTGACTGCCGATTTTTTTATACGCTTGTTTCATGATTCTAAACAATCAAGCGTATGGATATTGAAAAATTTTAATTTTTTCAAAAAATGAAAATTTTGAAAAATAAAAATATTTGTAAAATTGTTTAAAAATTACCTTTTGTTGTTTTTCTCAGTAGAATAAGATTTTTGGTTGAAAAAAAATGTTGAAAAAAATTATTACCCCTAAACAAGATCAATTTTGATTGCTTTCAATTTTAGTGGTAATTTTGAAAAAATTCAACTACTTCCACAATTTTCATTATTTTTTATTGTCGAATTTTTTTTATGCTTTTTTCACGATTTTAAACAATCAATCGTATGGAATTTAAAGAAATTTAATTTTTCCAAAAAATAAATTTTCTAAAATGGCTAAAAAATTTTTTTTTTAAATTTTAATAATTTATAATAATTTTGGATCCTAAATTATGCCAGAAAAAAAATTGACACTCTTTAACAATAATAACTTCAGTAGGCTGAAATTTCACCGGTCCCTCCCCTTAAGAATAAAAAAACTTTTTTTTTTTGATTATATGATTAATTAGAGTTTTGCTGTTACTGTTATTAACAAATAATAATGATAATAATTTTAGTAAGTATTAAAATAAGTTGGGTAACTTTTATTTTTTAATTGAGAAATATCAAAAGAATTTTGTCTCGTATTATAATGTAAGTTTTTAAGAAATAAATAAATTTTGTGTAAATTAAAATTAATGTTTTATAAACAATAAATTCTAATTTAGTAATTGTTTAAATAATTAAATTATTAAAGAAGTTTATTTCATTTTTTGAAAATGATAAAATTTGACAGTTAACTTTTTTTATAAATAATATTTTTATTTAATAGAAATAAATCAATATATTGTAAAAGTTTTTTCTATTTTAAAAAGATTTTAAACTAAAAATTTCAAAAAATAATTCAATTATCGAAGAATTTTATAAAAATTATGAAATAATTAGGTTTTTTTTTTTAAATAATTCTTTTTATATTTTTGAAAATAATTGAATCTTCTAATATATTTGTATTAAAAGAATCGTAAATAATTAAAATTTTGTAAAATTTAATTTAAAACTTTGAAAATAATTGAATTTTCGAATATATTTGTATTAAGAAAATTGTAAGTAATTAAAATTTTGTAGAATTCAATTAAAAGCTTTGAAAAATAATTGAATTTTTAAAAAGAATTTTGCATTAAGACTTTTGAAAATATGTAATTGAATTTTTTTAACAGTTTGAATTGTTCTTTATACAATATTTTAACATAATTTTCATTTAATCAAATTTTAATTTATCACAATTTTTTTTAAATACAATTTACGTTCGATAAAAAAAAGAACAAAATTCAAAAATTTCAGGGAAAAACATAAAATATTGTCTGTAAAGTGAGGGAAAATTATTAATGAAAATTTTGTCGCAATCCTGAAAATGTAAAAAATAATTATATTTTGCAAAAAAAAAAAAATAAATAAATAAATATATTATTCTTACTTGCTGCAAGTGCAATAGCACCAACTGGTGTAACAAGTGATGCTGCACAAACTGCCATTCCTCCCAAACTAATAACAGTACTTGATGCGTCTAATTTTGTGAATATTTTATTCCGACATGCTGGAGATTCATGAATTTCCAATCGAATATAAGACATTTCCTCCGTCCATTGTTCACTTTCATCTCCTTGATATTCTCCATTATAAGGCACAACCATAATACAACGTGGTAATACATTATTTGTTAAATAACCCTCCCAATTTTTATAAACCCTTTCATTTGTATCAATATAATAGATTTCCATTTTTATACCATTCACTTTTGTCTCGTCATTCTTAATAATTGTAGTTTTTAAAACTTTAAATACTGGAATTGGATTTACATATTTCACTAGGCAATCTCCATTAAAATCTTCTTCTTTATGAATAATTTCATTTACCAATTTAATTGCCTTATCGTCAAATATCACATTGTAAATTAAACCACAGAGAATCATTTTATTTTCCTGTGTACCATGTTCAGCTATTTTTAAAAATAATCTATCAATTTTTTTCATTTGCATTGGTTTATATTGAAAAAGTGAATCTCCATCTTCATAATTTTGATTTTCTTCTGCCTTTGGTGGACCATATAAAATTATTCCAATGCAATTTTTAAGAATATATGATTTTTGAGGATCATATTCATTGAAATCACTTAAAAGCTCATAAAAGTCTTGTTGATATCTAGTTGCTGAGAAGACTAATAATTGCTAAATAATAAAGAGACATATATTTTTATTATTGAAGTAAACAGAAAATAATAGATTTGTAAATATTATATTCGAGTACCTTTATTTCTTCTTTGCTGATCTCCTCTTTTTTATTCTTATTCCTTGAAAACATTTTTAATTTATATATTAACTGTTTCGAAAACTATATCATTGAGAAATATTAAATTGTATATAGATATTATAAAAATGTTAAATCCACTGATGATGTAATTCGCAAAATAAATACAACGCAAATTTAAATAATAATGGGAAGCTCCTGAACTGGAATATAAATAATTGCAATTTGCAAGATAGATATATTATAAAATGTTGAATCAACTCTCAAATGATGTAATTATTCGTGAAATAATAATGGGAAGCACATAAACTGAAATATAAATAACATATTGCAATTTGTAGAGGTTAAACACGACTACAACCAGCGAAAATCATCTGCTACAGTAATACAGTTGGTACTACCTTCAGTAATATACGCATGCGTGGTGGACATATTTTCAAATTAAACTATATATTCCTAATTCTACTCTATTTTATAACAATTAATATATTTCTATTTACTTTTATAGAATATTTATTTTAATCTACTTTTAAATTTTTATAAACTTTTTTTAAATTATCTTTTGCGGAATTTTGCGCCACAAACATATTCAGTTTTACCAACTGCTGCTATAGAAAAATATGAAATCAAAACATTTGGATAAAAATAACCTAAAAAAATTGTAGTATACACAATATGTGCTTTTTTAATTGATTTAAAATTAAATATTATTATTAATAAAATTAGTGACGTGTATACTTAATAAAATAAAATAGAATAAATAGAATTAGAATAGTGAGAAAATTAAAATGTTTGCCTTGTACGATTTATGTCATCCAAGTGTAATTATATATTTTTATTGTAAACTTTTATTATAAACTTTTTTTTAAAATTTTAATATTATTTACAACATTAAAAATGAGTTTATTAAATATTTTAACACATTTTTTTAGTACTACAAAATTAGCCAATTGGGTTGCACTGATGGAATTAAAATTTCTGTTGCATTTTATGTCTACATGGAACTTTGCGAAGTGAAATTATTAAGGGACGTGGTATATAAATATAATAAAGAAATCGATATTATATATCTTGAAGGGAAAAAAAATAAATCCTCAGAGCCCGAAACATATATACCTTGGCCTAATATTTATAAAATTTCTCTTCTGCAAATTGAAAATATACAAGAGCATCTGAAAATAAAAAGGTTAATAGTTTTATTTCATTATTTTTATTATTAATTTAAAATTTACATTATAAATTAACGAAAATTTTGCAAATTTCAGTTTTACTTTTGTATTTAGAGGAGGCGATAGTACTACTGTTTATTATAAAATAACATCAGGACTCGTTAAACCAATATCGCCTGACGAAACAAAAATTATTAAACAAAAAGAAGAAAATAAATACAAATTAGATCAAGATATTAGAAGAAATACTTCAATTTTTTATGAAATAGCAAAATCTCTTGATTCTAACGAAAGTAAAACTGTTAATATTGAGAATGCAAATGCAAATGATAGTGAAAATTCTGTTATTGCATCTAGTGAAAAAAAAGAGACAAAAAGTTCAAGTTCACAACCTACAATTACAAGTGTTGAAATTATATCAGAAGCGTCAACTAAAACACAAAATATAGAAATATTACATAAGACATAGTTTTTATAGAAAAAAAAAAATAATAATAAATTTTATAGGCAAAAAAATACTTAAATACAGGGTTTCTTTTTACTAAAAACCAATTTTTCTTTTTTTTTTTTTACTATTTATTAACTGAAATAATCTTAATTTGAGTATATAAGTTGAAATGATTTCAGCAGATTATCACTAAAGTTTTTTTTTCTGTTCATTAATTAGGATAATATTTCAATATCAGTATGTTTTATATACAACTTACAAAAAAAAAATTTTATTGCTGCTTCAACCGTACCTTAATGAGATGTGAATTAAAGCATACATTATTTATTAAAATTGATTTATAATTGATAAGGAATATAAAATTTAAAATTAATTTTTTACAATTAATCTCCATTCGTACGGCATAAAAGTGGTAAAATCAGTCAGCAGGGTGGTAAAGTTTCTTTTTTATTTTTAAAGAAATTCAATTTCCGAAAAAAAAGAAATCGATGATAAATCTTACAATCGAAGTTTCAGATATGAATTTCTCTTTTTTTTTTAATGGTCGTTTTTTTTTTCATTAAATAAAAATACATATTTTGTCTAGCTTCAAGATATTAAAATCTATGCTTGTTCGATAAAAAAAACAACCATTTACAAAAAAAAAATTAATCAGGCACGTTTTATCTTTCCTACAAACATTAAAATCTGTAAAGGAAATTTTTTGTTTATTGTAAACCGAGTACCAAAGAGTATTAGAGTATTAAAGTAAGGCAACTGGATTTCCAGACCTCCTCAACACTATCACAAATTGCTTAGCTTGTCAATCGCAATTTCAAATAACCAGTGTAAAAAGTATCAAAATTAACTTTTTCATTTTTTTTTTCTTTTTCCAAATTCATTCAAGACCATTGGTTTTACTTTGAAAAGCGAGAGAATTATTTACAATAATTTGAAAAATTCCAATGCTTAAAACAGGAATCCTTCTCCGAATAAAAATTTCGGAATACATGGAATGGAGTTATTAGAATTTTTGATACAATTTTCATTTTTATAGAAGGAAATACTTGTTCCTTATTAATAAATTTTTAATATTAAAAAAAAAAATGGTATTTAAGTACGGCACGATTATCTCCGCTTCTTTTTTTTTATCGAATAAAATTCGTGTATAACAATTAAAATGCAAAATAAGCCAAATAGCGGTGAAAAATATTTTAAATATACATGAATTAAAAATTGAATAAACAGAACGAAACAATATGGGAGTCATGAAATAATAGTGTCTCTCGTTAACTATTAACGCATTTAAAAAACATTGTTATAGCTCCATTTCTGAATTGATTATTATCACATGATTATGAGCAAATATTTCTGATTTTTTTTTTTTGTTTTAAAAATTAGTTTTGATAAAGGGGCGCGCGCGCGAGTACATTCTGCTGAAATAATATCATTAACGCTTTTTTAAAAAAGAGCTTAAAACAACTCTCTCATATTACGCATTATAGCTGCAACTGCAGAAGTAGTTTTTTTTTTCCTTTAATTTCTCACGTAGATAAAAATAGCTATAATAAACTTTACGATATGCTTCGTAAATGATTCTCATAAATTACAATTTGATGATTTTGGTCCTACTCTGTTTTTTCATTTCATTAGCGATTTAAAAAAAATAATTAGTACCATAAAAATCGTCTACTTACAGCAAAAAAAAAAAAATATATAATTGCAGCTTAAAATTGCGAGACCTGTTTGCAATTACTAATTATAGTATACAATAAAAATATAAAAACTATACAAATAATCATATTAGACGGAGATGCAGAAAGGATTAAGTTCAGATCATAGTGCGTGGGAGAACCAAACAAAATGAATTAAAAAAATAAAAAAAAAGCTCTGTCCAGTGCAAAAAAAAAAAATAAAATATAGATCAATGCTCAATTTTAAGCTGAAATAAAAAATATGGGGTTAGCACCAATCAGCCATATATGTAAAGTCCCTGAATAATCCTTGTTCCATGTCACTGAGTGGTCTTGGATCCTTCGGTGGTGTTAGATGAGGTTTTTCTGATGTGAATTCCTCATCGAAATTACTTACATCCTCAACAGAATGCTAAAAATATTAAATGATATTAAAAAAAAATTATTTAAAAGACTTTCACTTTTTTTTTACTTACAATAACTGGAACAAAAGGCGGTTTAACACGTCTTAAAAGCAAATCATCCCAAGCTATGTGTCTGAAGAACGCTTGTTTTTTAACATCCTCTGCATCTCTCTCACTACTTCCTAATCTTCGATCTGGATTCTTTCTAAGTAGCTGTAATTAACAAAATTTAAATTAAAATACAATAAAAATTTATCTTAATTTACAATAAAAAAATAACATCTTCTTTTAAATTTAATAAAGTAAAAAAAAGAATATCTCCTTTTAAATTTAAACTTACTCTTCTCATTATGGCAATTGCTTCAAGTGACAGGAATCGAGGATATCGAACTTCGTCATTTACAATGGAATCAAAAACTTCTTCCTCATCGTCACCAGGAAAGGGAGACTGGACAAAAATTAAAATAATTGAAATAATTAAAATAAACAAAAACATGTCTTTTTCCTCTAAGAAAAAAAATAATTACCTCTCCGGCAAGCATTTCAAATATTAAAACACCGAGACCCCACCAATCAACAGCGCGTGTATATGAAGTTTCGGTTAAAACTTCAGGTGCTAAAAACTCAGGAGTACCGCAAAAAGTTCCTGTTCGATCTCCAAAACCCATTCCCTCTTTGCATAATCCAAAGTCCGCAATTTTAACATAACCCTCTGTGTCCAAGAGTAAATTATCCAATTTTAAGTCTCTATAATAGAACAAAGAAAAAAATATGTTAATTACTTATTAAATAATTACAGCCAAAAAATTATTTTCCCTGACTTACGAGACAATATTTTGTATTTTTTTCCCGACATTTTCGAATTTTGTTCTTATTTATCAAATGTGAATTCTATTAAAAATAATACCTTTTCAATGAGAATGTAAAAATTGTGATAAATTAAAATTTGATCAAATGAAAATTATATTAAATTATTCTACAAAGAATTATTTTATTTAATTTATTTTATTATTTAAATTGTTATAATTATTTATATTTAATTTATATTAAATATAAAATCTTTTAAAATTTAATTATTAACAAAAAATTTAACTGTTAAACTTTGAAAATTTAATTAATTAAAAAAAATTGCAACAATTCTTTGAAATTTCAATTATTTGTTAATCATCCAAAATTAAATTATTTTGTGTAATTGAATGAATTTGAATAAATTTTGACGATGATAATTTTTTTTTTTACATTACATTTAATTCTTTGGATTTTGAATTTTTCCTCTTAATTTGAATTTTAACCGTTTACCTTAAACTATTAAACTATTTTTATAATATTTGAAACTATAAATATTAATTTAAAAAATTTTAATAATTCCAAGTTTTGTTGTAAAATTCAAAGTGATTAAAATACTTTTAAAGGTAAAAGAAAATAAATTCAAGGAGCACATTTTTTTAAATTCTTTAACAAAGAAAAAAAAATTCTCTTACATTTCTCTAACTCGTGGCAACCCTGTATTGATTATAATATTAATAATTATTTATATTAGTATTAATTATAATTAATACTTATTATTAATGTATAATTTATAATTATAATTATTATCAATAATTATAATATTTATTTATAACTATTTGAATTTTTCGACAATATATTTATTGATCGATGACTTACCTATAAATAATTCGACTTTCGTGTAAATATTGCAAGCCTAATACAACACATGCAGAATAAAAAACTGCGCGTGGCTCTCCAAATACGTCTGCATGTATGTGCATCATAAGATCTCCACCAGCTGCGTATTCCATCACAAAACAAACGTGTGCCTGTAAAAATAGACATAAATTTTGAAAAAAATGAATTTTCTCTTATTGTATATATATTGAAAAGTATTTTTTTTTTCAACAAGATTCAAAACACTTTTTTACACTTTACCTCAGTTTGGAAACACGCAAATAAATTCACAAGGAACGGATGTCTTGTTGTGTTGGCCACTTCAAATATTCTCTTTTCCGAAAGAAGAGACTCAACTTCATCTCTTGCAATAATATCCCCTTTTTTTAATGCTTTAATTGCAAAATACTCCCCAGTATTTTTATATTGCGAAAGAATAACTTTGCCAAAATGTCCACGTCCAAGTACAGAAAGTAATCTAAAGTTTTCTAATGTCATACCAGTTAATTGTGATTGTCTTCTTGATTCATAGGCACTGTCTCTATATTGTACAGTTCTTACTGGCATCTCATAAATTACCTGAAAATTCAAAAAAAAAAAATGTTTTTTTCTAAAGTATTTAACTTGAAAAAAAAAATCACACAAATTGACAATCACTGTTAGTACACAAAATTGATTTCATATTTTATTTCTGCATTTAAATAGTTAATCACTCTAATGATTATTTTAAAAAAAAACTATTCATACAAAAAATCTCCATGCAAAAAAAAGGATGAAAATTTTAATGAGAATTTATTTAATTAAGATAAATTTTTCATAACATTTTTTTTATATTTATCAATATTTCTCTTATATGAAAATTTTAATTTTTACCATATTTTCCAATATTTGGAAAAAAATTTTACAAAATTTGAAAATATTTTATAAAATTTGATATTTATTTAATATATTAAATAATTTAATTTTAGTTTTTTAAGGACATAACCCACATGTAAAGGAGGCAATGCGCCTTTAATTACATTATGTAAAAATAAAATAAATAATTTAATTTAATTTTTTTAGTTTCTGAAACGAGAATGAAATTCACAAAAACAATGCATTGTGCAGAGAAAAAGCTTGGATAGAAAGCAGATTAAAAATTCATGCAGGGAATATAATAATTCGAGGAAACAGAAGAAGAGGTGACTTTAATTTCCAAAGTCTTAAGATTTTATAAGCAAGATAATTTTTAATATTGATAAAATGTATTTAATTGAATAATGAAATGTCTGCCTTATATTAAAACATTTTTCTTAAATTTATAAATTAAAGCCTTATTATTACAATGATTTCCTTTTTATGATGAATATTAATAATGATTTCTTTTTTATGATGCATATGAAATGAAAATTAATCAAAATTATCAGGAATTGTGGATAATATTAGAATGTAATAAATAATTTCAAAAGATTTAATTCATATTTAAAAGCATCAATATTATTTGAAGAATAAATTAAAATAAATATAAATTTCCATAAATCCTGAATTTTCTTTTGTATACTCAAATTTTGATTATAATCGAAGAAAAGTACAAACATCTTCAAAACACGAGAGATAAGATGTAAAAAAAAATTTTTTTTCAAAATAAATTTTACAAGACAGACAAAAAGCCATGCGGTTTTTTTTTTTTTTACATGAGGTATGTACCTCGTCTTCGGGAAACTCGACGACAGGTTGGGGCGAGGGGGTGCGTGGAGAGGGTGGTGCAATCAGCACAGGTCGGGGCTCGGTTACAAGGGGCCTCAAGCTTGCCCCCTGATGCCCGCCCTTCTCTTCGATGTGCAGGAAATCAAACTCCCTTAACGCACTCTGCAACTACATTATTACTACCTGCTTAGCACTATATTTATAATATATACACAATACATATTAGGGATGAAAAAAAAAAAATTTTGAATTTAGAACTCCTAAAACGATTATTTTGGTTTTTATTTGAAACTTTTTTAAATAATTGAATTTTTAAAGAAATATTAAAATTATTAAAATTATTAAAATTATTAAAATTACTCGAATTTTGGAACAATTATAGTTAAAATTATTAGAAATAATTTTAAATTTCAAAAGATTTTCTTAAATTTTACAGAATTGTAAATAATTTATCAAATAATTGTAGATAACATTTTTTAAAATTAAATGAATTTTTAAAAAATTAGAATTCAGATTTTTTAAATTAATTAAACTTCAAGTGATTTTTAATTGAAAAAGAATCATTAATAAATAATTCAATTTCGGCAGAAATTGAAATTATTAAATTTCAGAAAGTTTTAGATGAAAAATTTTAAAAGGTTTTAAATTGAAATTTTTGGTAATGTTATTTGCTACTTTTTTTAATATAAATTTTACGATTAAAAATTTCTGCGCACCGTTTTAATTTATCATTTGCATACTATATTTTTAAAAGAAAAGACACTGCCAACTTAATATTTCGATTTTTTTTTTGTTCATTAAGTTTTAAACACCCCTAATATATATCGATAGAGGACTGAGCAGGATTTTTCTTGCAAGCATAGGCAAGCCATTTTCAATTGTTTTTTTTATCTTGCTCTTACTTTAAAAGTTGTAATTCTTGTGCAAAAATTTTACAATATATGTGCTTTTAAAATATTTTCATTGCAAAAATTTATGTGGGAAAAAAATACATCACTTCTATATAGTGTTTTCAAAAATAAAACAAAAAAAAAAAAGTGCTTAACTGAAAGTGTGATACATCTTTTATCGACAGAAAATAGTTGATTAGAAATAGTCAGTTTTTGTATTTACAGTGTTAAATTAATTTTGCGATTAATTTTTTTTTTGTTTAAATATTATTATTTTATTAAAGTGAAGTAAAAACCGCAACCATTAATTTAAAAATGTTTTTAAGGATTTTTTTTTTACGGGAAGATTACGTAAAATTTTCAATTGAAAAAATAAAATTTAATTATATTCTTTAAGTTGTTATTAAAAAAAAATATATATTTATTACCTCTTGATCGAGTTTAGGTGGTGGAGGAGGTGCTGGCATCGAAGGTTTCTTTATTAAAGATGGTGGAGGAGGTGGTGGATGTTCAGGTGGACTTGGCAGCACTGGAATTTCATTTGGTACATTCATTCCCAAGGGTCGTGCACCACCTAAACCACCCTTATCAGGATCTGGTAATTCTCCTGGTGTTTCTATTTTATCTTCTGCTGAAGAATCGAAGGCAATTTGCGTCGGTTGAGGGCCTGTAATATCGAAAATAAAAGAAATTTTAAAAAAGGAAACTTACAATAATAATAATTAAAAATTCTTTTTTCCAATATTGGTAATCAATTGTTTTTTAGTAAATTCAATTAATAAAATTAAAACGAAAAAAAAGAAACTTACATTGTACACTTGAAGGCGGACTTTCGGAACTCCTTGTACTGTGAAGTGAAGGTGCTGAACGTTTTAATAGTCTTCCCCATGTGGCAACATTAATATTCATTTGATTAGCACGTGGGAAATTTTTCACTTGCTGTTTAAAAATTTTCCTCTGTCGTTGTAATTTTGGCTTCCTCGATATCATGGGATTTAAAAATTTAATTTCAGCAAATAATAAACCTTGGGGTTCTAATTGTAATGCCATTCCATGTCGAACGTCATCAATAAATTCTTCTAAACGTAAGAATTTTACTGCACAAAGAGATCTCCAATCTTTCCAATAAATACCGATTTCCAATTCTCTAGATTTGTCTAGTTCTATGGAAAACCTAAAAATAAGAAAAAGTTTCTATTAATAAAAGAAATTTATAATTTAATAATTAATAATTAATAATTTATAATAAATTTTGTTTGATAAAAAAAAATTGTTGTTTTACCTTAATTAATAGAAAAGTTAACTAGTAGAAAGAAAGTAAAGTTAATAGGAATTCAATTACCTTTGATCCCATGCCTGCTGAGAACAAGGTCGCCAACTAGTTTGTGCTACCGTTTGATTATCTAATTTAATAACTGCCATAATATCGTCTAAGAAAATAGAAAAAAAAGTGTTACTAAAGTTTTCTAAATTTAAATAAATATCGAACACTGGTAAAAAAAAAAATACTCACTACTTGTCTCGTCTTTTACGCTGTAAGATTTACTCGAACTTCGACCAGTAACACCTTTAACAAAGCTGCGTAAATCAGGGCTGGCTGGATGTTCTCTTCTTGTTCGTCCAGGAACTTCTTCTGCTAAATCCTGACATCCCATTAGTCTTACCTTTAAAAAAAAAATAAATATTAATAATTCAATATTAAAAAAATATTTCAAGTTAAAAAAAATCATATTCAGAAAATTTTAGGTTTTAATTAATCCAATTAATATTTTTAGAACTAATTGAAATTCAAAACATTTCAAATTTGAATTTTTGAAAATTGTAACTACTGAAGATTTTTTTTTCAATTTCTAGAAATAATTAAATTTTACAAAATTTTTAATTAAAAAATGTTTCAAATAATGGATTTTTCTTTTAAAAAACTTAATGGTTGAAATTATATGAATTATTAAATTATTAGATTTTTGGAAACAATTGAATTTTATGTGATATTAAATTAAAATTTTAGTAATTTTATTTGCTGAAATTGTCTTTTTTTTATAAATTTAAAACAATTATTGAATGTTTTAAAATATTTAATTGAAAAATATTTTCAGATAATTGAATTTTTGAAGAATTTTATTTAAATTATTGAAAATAATTAATTTAGCAAAAGAATTTTAGTTAAAAATTTATTAAGTAATTAAATTTAGGAAATTTAGAAACTTTTAGTATTAGCTAAAAAAAATGTAAAAAAAAGTCGAAAAAATACGGAATAAACCTATTTTTAAATTTACTTTTTCTAAGAGTACTACTACTAAATCAAGCTCTAAATTTGATTCTTTTAAAACTGCGATAAAGGATTATATTTCTGCATAAAGTCTTGATTTAGTTTTCATTTTATTTATTATTATTTTATTATTAGTTTTAATTTTCTAAAAGAGTTTTATAACTTGATGCAAATAAAAAAAAATAATTATAAAAAACAGTCTCATCTTATTAAAATAATTTGAAAAAAATCACATTTTTGAAAAAAAAAAAATTGGAAATAATCGTACAATCCGGGGCTTGATTTAGTAGCTTCTGCTTAAAATTAATAGTTATTGCCCGTTTGTATCAATAAATAAATAAATAAATAAATAAATAAATAAATAAATTTTTCGAGTCAAAAAAAGTATCAAAAATTAAATAAATTGTGGTAATTCAATGCTTGTGTCATTTATAAATTACCCGATTTTATTTACCTCTAGCTGCCCAGTGACAGCGGCACATCTTGAAACTGATGCTGGAACAGTTGCTCTGCCTTCCAATGGTCCACGAAAAGGTTGCAATGAAGTGTAAGTAACTGGAATTGGACTTGCGGATTGCACACTAGCTAATTCACGTTTAAGTTGCACCGCCGTGGCACTATCGGTTGGCAGTTCTTGTCTTCTCAGTTCCAACGAAAGTCTCAGTAAATCCAATTTTCGACTTGACTCTGATAAACTTGCTTGAGCCTAAAATAAAAATTAATTAAAAAAAAGATCCAATTTCTAAATTACAAATCTATATACAAAACTATAGAAAAATTAAAAAATATTTAACTTACAATTGATAAAATTATTGATTTCAAAAATGGAATGAACTTTCACAAATTTTCTATATATATAAAAAAATGATTTAAATAATTAATTTCTCGAGCTAGCGCGCGTTGAATCTCTCTCTACTCTCGATAATTGAGAGCTGGACCTTCTATCAAAATCAAAAAATGATTTAAAACGATCTTTGGAACGTTCTTCAAAATATCTTCGACAATGATCACAGGAGCAAGATGGATTTTTCGCAGGTCCAATGTGATGACCTGGTTTTTTAAAAGCAGCGACAACACGTCCAAAAACTGATGCCTTAATAATATGATCGGTTTTTTCACCATGATTTGTTGTAAATGGTGAAGTAACGCGTGAAGTAAACGGTGAAGTAACACGGGAAATTGGCGAAGTAACTCTAGAGGTAAAAGGAGATGTTATTCTCGATGTTGATGGTGAATTAATTCTAAAACTAGTTGGAGAAGTAATTCTCGATGCAATGGGAGATAAAATTAATGATTCAACTTTTACAAGAGATGGTGGTGATGGTTTTCTAATTTCAGAATTTGCATCATGTACAATATTAGCAATTTCTGGTGAATTTTTTCTTTCCTTAATAGTACTTGTATGATCGTCACTTGAAAGAAAACTCCATGCAATTACATCACTATCATCTGAATTACTTTCTTCTGATGTCCAATCAACACGATGTTTATCCATATATTCTTTAATTTTTCTATTTTGTAATAAATGCCTTCGTTCAGTCTGCGGTGATTTCCATGTTTTACTCTTGTCAATAAATGAGGTGCGTTTTTTTTCTTGATCTGAAAATTCAATACTATCGCAAGGTGTTATTCTATGTGAATCAATATCGGAAATTGTGTCTTTCCATGATGTTGCCGATGATGAATCTTCAAGTGCCATTGTACTGATAGACGATGACCAAGAATCGCGAAGTGCACTATAGGAACTAAATTGCGAGGGATAAAGGGAACTTAAAACATCATCACTTTCGTAACCTTTAGAACTTGTCAATGATGGCATTCGCATTGGAGCGTGACGAAAACTTTCACAACGACGTTCGGCGGCTCGTTTTAAAAAAGCTTTATCATCCTGAAATCCTCTTGGAAGAATGGAATTATTTTTAATTTCTTCATGAGTTATTTGTACATTTTTACCAGCGTAACAAATTAAATTAGGTTTCTCAAATTCTTCTCCACTTGATGATGAATCACTTGTTTCATTGCCCGTACAATAAACATCAATATGAACTGTTCTTTTTCGTTTTTCACTGTCTTCCTTTGAAGATGTGTCGGATTTTCCCTGATCTGAAGAGCTCAATGATGGCGGTGAATTTACATTTTGCTATGGAAAAAAAACATAATTAATTTTTAAATAAAAATTTTTAATTTTTCTTTATTACCTTTTTCTTTTTCTGTTCGTCTATACCGCGCGTACCGTGAGCTTTTTTTCTAATTTTATTAGTTTTAGAATGTGTTTCAATGTCCGTAGTTTGTGAAGCAGCATCTGTTTTATTGATAGGAAGTCGGGTACAAAAATGTGTTGTAAAAGCACTTGAAGTCGACGATACTTCGGCACAATCTTCACATCCTTCAGGAACGGTACTAAATTTATTTCTTGAAAGATGTGTTAAATTCCAAGGATTTTTATTTTCACTAGTTGATAGTGTAATATTACAAGTGCTTTGACATTTTCGATGTGATGAATATCGAGGATATCTTGAATTTTGCGATAATTGCTCACTAGTGTAACCTGAATCCGAGATACTGACTCCTTGTCCCATGGGAGAAATAGAATCATCATTTCTTGAATTTTGAATTGATCTTGAAGGTGGTGTTGAGGTGAATAAAATATTCCCTCTTTGAAATCCATAACCTGGTGAAGGTGTAGCTTGATTTGCATTCCATCGATAAACCATTCGAAGACCACTCGATTCATTCACATTTGTATTAGCCAATCGAGGAGTTTCTGGCGTTTTATGACGAATTGTAACTTCTGCTCTCACTAACCAAGGTGGTTCATTGGATGACGTTTCACCAGGTCGTTTATACATTTTTTTTTTTCTTTTCAAATTTCTCCTTTGAAAATCAATTTTTTCTTCTCCAGAGAAGGAAAAATGATTATCTTGAATTTATCAAGATTCGCAATCGCTCACTGCTTTTCATGGGACAACAAACTAACGACAAGTGCGACGACGCAAGTGTATAATTAGCACACAGTGTAAATTTGGAGCAACGTACAGCCTGCCTAGGAATACCTGGAACTCATGACACTTTTGATATCACTTTTGTGTATGTATATATATTGTCACAATTGCCTACTTTTACGAATCAGGTGCGTATAACTTGCGCAAGTAAAATCTAATCTCAAGTTAGAGAATTTTGTGACCACACAAATTCACGAACGAATCAGCTCTGTGTCGGTTTATTGAAACTCTTGTGTGATTCCACCCACAGTTGTTACGTGTCTATTTTCAAATTCTCTTGGCGAGCATCTCTTTTACATCTTTTGGGAAAACCTTCTCTAATCTAATATATATTTTTTTGTAATAAAAAGAAGTATGATTGTTTTTAAATTTTTTTTGAAAATAATCAAGCCTATTTTGAAATTGCGAAAAAAAAAATTCTACACTGATAGATTTTGAGAGAAAATTAACGATGCCTGAAAAGGCATCCTCAATGAATGGTGGGGGATACGTCGCTATTTTAAGAGACGTTTCCACTGTCGCCCCTGAATTTGCGAAGAGAACTTTTGTTTTTTTTAAACTCGCTGTGAAAGTTCGCTCAACATTTTTTTTCTTTTTATGTTAAAAATCAAATTATACACACCTCGGCCAAGGCCTTCTTATCGGCAACTTTGGCACTTTGAAGAAGACGAATCACATTCTTTGCTCCCTCTACGACCGCAGCCTCAATTCGTAATCTATGTCGAAGCTCCTCTACCCTCTCTTCTAAGGCAAGCTCCAAACTTGGCTCATACCTATCTGTGAAATAAAAATTATAATCAATATACATCAAAATTGAAAAAAAAATTTATTTTTACACTCTCATATTCTCTAGAAAATTTTTTTTTTTGTACAAAAATATAAATTTCGGAAAAAAAACTACTTACAATTCATGCATTTTGAAGGAAATAATCCTCGGAAACACATTATTATTATTATTATTTTTATTTTTATAAGAATTAATAATAGAAAGAAAATTACGAATTAGAAAATCATTTAATTTAGTTTCAAGAAAATGTAAGAAATGTTAGTTTCATCAGCAATGACAATTGTATTTTTTTTTTTTAAATATAAATTAAAAAAAAAAATTATCTCTTATGGACCGTAAATTAAATGTTTTGTATTATTCTAAAAGTATGATGGATACGATCTGTTGATTGTAGTCAATAGTGATTTTACTGATGAGTGAAACACGAGCTTGACACTTCGAGCACACGTTTTTTGCTCATTTGCCATTTGGCAAAGATATATTCTCGCGCATTTGTGACATTGCGTAAAACATAATTCTATTATATATTCTCAATTCATGAACGTGAATATTTTTTCTAATAAATTTTATTGTAGTAACTATTGTTGTAATGAATATTATGATAAATATTATAAAAAATATTAGAATAATATTATAATAATAAAATATTATTATAATAATATTGTAATAAATATTAAAATAAATATTAGAATAATATTATAATAATAAAATATTATTATAAATATTGTAATATAATAATAATATAATAATAAATATTTAAATAAATATTTGTTTTAAATACGACAATTTTTTCTAGATTTAAAATAGTAATTTTTCAAATGCTAAAAAAAATTGAAGAAAATTCCAAAAACAAATCTCTTAGACACAAAATGAATCAAATATTTTAGATTCATATTTTTCAGGTCATTGAATTGAAAGATTTATTTATCGCATGAGTACCTTTGTTGCTGGTTGCTTCACCATTTGGTGGTGGTACATCGCCTCTGGCGTGCTGTTGTTCCCGCGCTTGGTTTAACTTCATTATTCGCATGCGTAAAAATTCGATTTTAGCACGAGAATCATCCAACATTTGTTGTGCCTCTTGTAATAATTTTTTATCTCTATGACCACTAGTTAAACTTTGTATCATATTCTCCGCACCTTGTTTCACCTGAAAATAAAACATTTTTTTTTTTTATTCTATTCATTTTTTTGTATTTTATTTTTATTCTATTCTATTATTTAAATAAATAAATTTTTTTTAGGAAAATATCTAAATAAACAAATTTTTAGAAAATAATTTCTATTAAAAATAAAAAATTAAGTATTAAATTTTTAGCATATTATATCGTAAGAGACTAACAATTTATTCATTTTCCAATGAATAAAAAGCAATAATGATTGACGTATTATTTAATTTTTATAAACAGGATATTTAAAGTGAACATGTTCTTCTTTTAAGAAATTATTATTCTGAAAGGTATATTCTCATGCACTGTTAATTTTTTTCGAGTTTCAAACACGCTACGTAATACCAGGAAAGCAACTGTGTTGCACTCTTCAGCTAATGTCATTATAATTTACAGACTAATCCCCAATTTGCTTAACTTCACTTTTTCTCGAACAGGAAAAATATAAATTAAAATTAAAAACAAAATAAAAAACAAGAAATGATAAAAAAAAATAAAAGCAAAGTATCTACAAGTAAATGTGACATAAAAGCAGTAAATTTAATTTCCAAAATAATTTAAAATTACAAATAAATAAAAAAATGAATAAAAAAATACAATTAAAATAATTGAAATAATAAAAATCTACGGAATCGTAAACTAAATATAGTTAACTCTTTTCCATATGAGTTTGGCCATTTTTTCTTCTTTTTGTTTGACACTTTGCTCTATAGAATATTCGAACCAAACATTGTAAGTATTCACTAGCTCGCGACAAACTAACAACTAAACTGATTAAAAACCTGGAACTTGTGTCGTCGCATGACGCAGGGGTTGCGATTTTAACTTTAAATATAGTACAGACGTAAAAAGACGATTCAAATAGTATCAACAAAAAAAAATTGTTTTTTATTTCAAAAAAACAGAGATGTCATTTCTTTTTATATATATAAAAAAAACTATCCTTTTATTTTAGTTAACAAAAAATGCTTTTAGCAATTTTTCCAGATTTTTAATAATTGAACGATAAAAACTAATTTTCAGTACCACAATAATGTAATAAAAATTATGTAAAATAATACTCAGTGTATTAAATATCGCTTAAGGAAATTGTTGCAATTTTTTTCTTAAATTAGTTTGGAGTCTTTACTGGATTCTGTTACTAAATAATTTTACCTTCGTTTCAATATTAAGCTGCTTTTCTAATGAGAGAAGACGAAGGTCGGTAAAAAGACCTTCTTGACTTGGTGATGCTGGATCAGTCGGAGACATTGGAGTATCTGCAATAAAAAATATAAATTAGAAAAATATTCTAGAAAAAAAAACAAAAATTAAAATTTATATAAAACAAATTTTTTTATTTTTTTAGCTAATATTAATTTTTGTTGAATTAATTTTTTTATTTATATATTGAGGATTAAAATTTAAGAGCAAAGTCAGAAAATTTGGTTGATTTCACTTCCTGTCATCTAGACGTGAAACTCTTTTTTTTTTTTTTTTGTTGTAAGAGACAAAACTCCCACGAGTTCAGAATCTAGTGCGATCGTGGAAGATCATTCATTGTTTCACATAGCTTGTTGCATGCGACTCTCCCACCGTACCGGTTTATTCATTGTGGTGTCTAGCATTGTCTACATTATACCAATGTATTTTCTAACAGTTTCAACGTTATAGAGGGAAAAAAAGAATGAAAAAAAAAAAATTGAGAGAATCGACGCCTGCACGTGCGAGTAAGGTGAATTCCCTTTATAACACTTCTCACGTGCTTATATATACAATTTTTATATAAAGTAGAACAATTAAATTACAACATGTTTCTTCTTATCAAATAATTAATTTTTTTATTTTTTCAAATTTATTTCTTTTTTAAATTAGAAAAATTCATTAATTTTTTAAAAATAATTTTTGAACTATTAAGAAAAGAATCTAAAAGATTGAAATGAGAGTAAGTTTATAAAGTCAAGGGTAAGTCATGGTATTTGGCCCAGACAGTCAACAAATCTCAACTTGCATAGGCGACGCGAGTTTCTCGCTAAACGGATGTTGACTCACATGACGTGCACTTCAGAATTTAGACTCCAAATTAGAAAAGGATTGCAAGTGTAATTTTCAACGCACAAATTAATTTTTTTTTCTTCAAAATCAAGACATAAAAATTTTTTATCACTTTTTTTTAATAACTCTTACAAAAATAAATTTTAATATTTATTTCGTAAAATTTGTTTGGTTTAAAAAAAAAAAAAATTCTTTTTTTTTTTTAATTAATAATTATTTTGTTATTATAAATTAAAGAAAAAATGAACGGGGGGGACAAGAAAAAAAAATTTTCCCTTCATCGAGCCGTGTACAGATGCGTTTGAAAAGACACAGAATATATTTGCACCGGAACTAGAGTGATGGTTATAGCTTTTACTTCCCCGTTAACCGGAACTTCGAACAATTAGAGTTAAAATAAATTCACTGATGACTAACAATAGTTTCTATAATAACTCTTAAACAGTTTCCTCCAAACATTATTATAATTTACTTTAAAAAATTATTAACAAGAATTTCAAACAAAAAACAAAAATACATGTTGTAAATAAAAAAAAAATATGGAATTAACTTTTTTTATATTAAATTAATCCAAAGAGTAAAAAAAATTATTTTAATAATTAAATTTTTTTTGAAAATTTTCTTTTTAAAAAATGTTATTTGGATGTATTTAAATAATAATAATAATAATAATGATAATAATAATAAATAAAAAAATAGAAGTTAATTAAATTTTGTTTATTAAATTAATTCAAAGAGTAAAAAACAAATTATTTTAATAAAAAAATTATTGTTTATTTTAATGTATTAAACCAAGTCCACTTCTGGGCCGAAAGGCTGAAGTTGATAAATAAATAATAAATAATAATAATGAATTATTTTTCAAAAATTATTATTTAGATATAATTAAATAATAATAAAAATAATAGTAAATAAATAAAAAATTTATAGAAGTTAATTAACTTTTTTTTTATCAAATTAATCCAGATTTAAGAAAAAATTATTTAAATAATTAAAAATAATTTAATTAATTTAAAAAAAAATGTTATTTTATCAAGAAACTAAATTTATGTATAACAGTTGTGTTTTATAAAACGTACTGTGTCAATAGACTTGTAACCGTATATTCAACATTATAACGAGACTGACAATAAGAAATAAGTCGATATTCAGTGTTTCGCAAGTTCTCAATTGATTCTCTACGTCTTCACATATTCAATACATACATTGTTTTGTCTAGCGATATCGTGACAACTCTAGAAAACTAGAAACATGGAAAAAGATCAAGATATACCTCTATATACTTATATGTATTCACTATATCAAACGATATCGATTTACACTTCTAAAAGAGCGAATTTTCAATTTCACGAATCTACCTTGTGAGTCTTTTTATTATTATAAAAAAATTATTCATTTTATTATTATATTATTCTTTATAAACTGCGGAGAATGTATAAAAAATAAAATTTAATTAATAAATATAATCTCAATAGAAAAAAATTAGTTTTTTTTTTTTTTAAATGGAAAAAATATAATTTTTTCTCTGCATTATTTAACAGTGGACATAATTATATGTATATATATAATTATGTACACAGAATTTTAAAAACCTTTGGTTTTCTACTTTAATTATTCTTTTTTTTTTCTTTTATTTCTCTTTGTCGTGTCTCATTATCATCGTTCGTAAAACTTTGCATGCAATTAGAAAGTCGTCGACTGTAGCGCGCTTTGCCCGGAGGGTTAAAAAGATGCTCGCGTGTCTTCTGCCCCCACCATTCTTTCTCTTTATATTATTTTTTGTGTTTTTTTTTTTTTTTTTTGTACATAATCCTTTTTGTTATTCCCTGTTAAAGGTTCGGTATATATATAAACGGGTGTGCACGCGCGACATCAATATGACCCATTCAGGGGTTGTCGACGAACAATGACTAGCTTTGTCACTGAATGAGAACATTCGTTAATAATAGGGTACGTGTGAGCTCGTGTAGGTGTACACACAAAACTAATGGCATCGTTGAAAGGAACTCTTTTCTTTCTATTTTTTTTTTTTTTTTTTTTTTCTTTATTGTTGTTCATCCTTTCAATATCGTTTTGGTCAATCTATTTATCGATCTCCTGATGACGCCATGAAACAAAAGGTGTATATTTTCTAATTTAAACTTAAAAGATAATTTTATAAATATTTCAAAAAAAAATTCTTCGAAATTTAATTTTTTATAAAATATATTATTTTCAATTATAATTATGCAAGGAGGTGCAGGTGTTTACTTTTGAAGTGAATGCAACTCAAGAGCTACTATTGTAACTTAAAGATATATATAATTATTCTTGTCGTGGGTGATGGTCCATAACATCCTTATTATAACATTGTATAAAATAATTGCCGTAACTATGAGAGATACGCGCCAATAATTTGCATTCAAAAAGACCGACCTAACATGTGAATTCATTATAAAATATAATTATATATTCTCTATTATTTTCAAATGAATTAATTAAATTATTTAAATATTAACATATAAACGTGACCTAATTTTTCAAGGATCTATAGTTATTGTAATATTTTGATTTTTTATCATAGAAAAAAAATTACATTTTATCGAAATGAATATGAAAAATATGAGAAATAGATTTACCATTATGCCAGACTGGATGTTTAATTTTAAATTAGCTATACGATCGCCCAACGTTACGGACTGATAAATAATTTAAAGCGAAGAGATGTGTTCTCTTAGGAACCAACTTGATACCACGAACAATTGATTCTAACTTCCAATACCCAACAGTTAAATAATACTCTCAACTCATAAAAATTTAATATAGTCATAAATTTAAAAATTAATTTATTAAGCTATTTCACTTAATAAACACATATGCAATTTGTTCAAACTCTATTTCATTTTTTTTTATATTTCTTTAATAAATATTTATTATTTACAACCAATAAAATTCTCTCATAAAAGAGAGACATCTCATTAATGTGACCCAAAAACAAAATTATTTTTAATTGCCTTAATAATGTTTATTCGATAGTTAAAATTAAATTAATTAACAATTAAACTTGCAATAAAATAAATTAATTATTTAATTATTTAAATAAATAATATAATAAAATATTTTTATTACCTATTTTTAAATAATTTTTTTTTTTTGAAAATAGTGAGTAAATTTTTTTTTTTTAAATAAAACAAAAAACTAGTTTTAAAAAGTAGAGTAATTCTAAAATTACCAGTTTGAAAAAAAAAATTGAAGAAAGTTAAAATTAAACGATGCACAGTGTTTTAAAAATAAATACATGATTAATAATCGAGTTCGCCGGATTGCTAAATTTATATTGGTACGTCCGGAAATGCGTTCAGCTTATTAGGTACATCCAGAGAGTGCTATTACGTTTGACAATAGGAAAATTACAATGGTTTATTAAAGAAATAGCTTTGAATTGAATTTACTTTATGCATCCTTAAGTCATTTAAAAAAAAATTTAAGCAAATCAATTTCTCAAATTTTTTTTTAAAAATAGAGAATTATTTAATTAAATATGTAATTTCTGTTAAAAATTCTCCTTTATCGATCAATAACGGTAAATAATATTTTATTTCTATACTTATTCTCTTGCATTCAATAAAGAAATAAAGCCATAAAGATTTCTCTAAATCTAATCGATTTTCTTTTCTTTTTAGAGAAGCGCAACCTGGATACTTAAAGAAATTGTGAATCGAAAAAAAAAATTTCTTTTTAAAAAGAATCGATTTTTTATCAATTGTAAAAAAAATTAAAATAATATAGTAATAGTATTTTAATAAATAAAATACTAATGAGAAATTTTTCTCTGATCAATGAAATATCGAGTCGTGGATGATGACTGAACTGGATTGAACACAACCAAACGACTGATATAAATAGCTGCTACCACTTAGAGTCAATTCGACACTGCAGACTATGAGTTGCATTTACTACAGAAAAGAGAAAGAGAGAAAGAGGCGCATAGAATGAAACTCTCAGACAGGAGATTGATAGACAAACATAATAGTGCCCTCGAGACTAACTACGGGACGTGACAGTCTATAGAATCCTTATTCAGTGTGGAAAATACTTGAAACACCTTCCAATGATCTATAGAGCTATTCAGTCGTCATTCTGAATCACTATGTGTTTCAAAAGAAAATTATTACTCATTTAAACTAAATTATCAAATTTAATATTTTATTTTTTAATTTTTTAATTTTTTCTTTTAGCATTTACCAACTGAAAATAATTTTAAATTACCTTGTCCGTTGGAGTGATTTTGTTGAGGAGACTGCGGTTGTCCCTGAGTCAATATAATTTGACTTTCAAGCTGCTGTAATTCTGCTTGAAGCTCACTGAGCTTTGTATTTGCCTTCTTTACAATCATAGCGACATCAGAGAGAGCTTTACGATCAGTCGCCACCTCCCGCAGTTTCTCTGCACCGGCCTTTATTTTTAGTTCCTATGACCAAAAAAAAAAAAAAAATCCTCTGCGTGAACTAATTTTCTTTACAAAAAGAAATATCAAATTTTTAAAAAAATATTTTTTATATTAAAAAAAAAAAATCATACCTTTCGTATTTCTCGACGAATATGCTCTCGAAGTTCATCAAGACGAGCTGGCAAGGGCACTTGGTCACTACCAGCCACTCCATATTTATGTGAGAGTTCGTAAAGAACAGGATGTCTAATATAATCGCCCTGAAATTATTTTCAAAATTAATTATTTTATATTTTCAAAAATTAATTTTGATTTTCGGAAAAAAAAATTTGTAGTTCTTATTTGAAGATGAATTTTCAAAATTCGAAATAATATATAATCCTTGAAACTTATATATACAAATAAACAGAAGCTGTTTAGTGTTTATCTTTTTACTCTAAAATAAATTACTATATATGTCTAGATATTTAATCATCCTTTTAACAAGCACGTAACAGACGTATATAAAATATGTCTCTGATAAAATTCATTTATCACAGTTAATTAGAAAGGGCAGACATTATCAAAAGGAAACGTTACAGACTTTTCACATGTATAAAATATAATAATTATATAACTAATATAATTTATCTTGTCAAATCTTTTTACAAAAAAAAAATAAATAATTACCACACAAGGTTGAAAATATTTCCAAAAACCTCTAAAAAGTAAACTATCAGATTTTTCCACCGAAAGTCTATTTTGTGTTTTTGAATTTTTACGAGAACACATTATTAAAAATTCGTTTTTTCTATCCGTCACATATTTTTTAAAATTACACAAAACTAAATTACTTTATTATGAAAATTTACAAAATGAAAATTTTTTTCCAAAAAAAGAAAATGATTTCAAAATTCTAAATTAAATGAAGCACTCTCGCTCTTTGAAAATATTAACTAAATACTTAAGACACTTGTAAGTCTCGACAAATGGATTTTACACACGAAGCAAATAAATTAACACAATATATTCGAAACGAACAAATGTTACCACAGACCTTTTGTCCTTATCTTTTATCAAACAGATAGATAACAGAGATTCTCAACTTTAGAAATTAAAATATCTTGAAAATCTATACAAAATACAAAATTAATTTTAATTTTTTTTTTTTGTAAATCTTTTTGCAATTTAAGTTCCGGTGGAAAAATTTATGACACGATTATAATCAGGAAAAGAAAACAGGATTTTCCTGCTTTGTCTATAAATAAATCGTTCATTCACTCACTACCAACAATCATCAATGTGACTCAGCTTCATTGCATTACTCCTAATCTCTGTTATTTCACATTACCTAATGATAACTATGTATGAAACATTTTACATAATTATTTAAGTACCTAAAAAAAATTAATCAGAAAAAAAATATATTTCTTTTGTTTCATAAAAAAAAAATGTAATCGAATTTCAATATTAGACTTCAAATATAATACATATATGAGTTTGAAATAAATTTTCATCTCAATATTATGACGTATGAGTTATTTTCACACATTCCGTAATATGTATAGGTAATAAAAAAAAAGGAGAGGTCAACAATCGTTTTTGACAGTCTAAAATAAATATATCGTCTATTTTAGTAATTTCAAAAAAAAATTTTCTTTTTTTGCAAATTGGATCATTTTTCATCTCAAGGTAGAATCTTTTTTTTTTTTTTTAAAGAAGAATTGACTTTAATCTTTAAAAGAATTTTCATTGAGAAATCAACAACATACACAAGTTTACATTTCTAATGTAAAGCCACGTGCAAACACTTGGCCCAGATTCAGTCCAGATCCCCTAGCAATATGGCTAACAGCAAAATATAATAGCAAATAAGTTCAATTTATTTTCTGCTTAATTTTTCTATTTCTAAGAATCTTGTTAAATTAACAACATATAATTTTTGATTAATCATAGAAATTAATACGCTTCCTTTTTTTTTTTTTGTTATTGCATATATTTTCAGTAAATATGTTTGTTTTGAAAATATAGTCATCTTCATTAAAGTGAATTACATTTCAAATTAAAACAATAATTAAAAAAAAATCAATTTTCCAGATAAGAAAATATTAAACCTTGTTTTCTTTTATTAATAATTATTTTCAAATTTGACGTTTTAGAAAAATTTCAAAAACAATATTTTCAACGATTCTGTTTAGTAGATTATTCAGAAAAACTTGTGGCTTTTATTAACGTTAGCGACTTTATTTTTGGGTCACGCACTATACCAGACAAGCATCGGTAAATTACGAAATGCAAAGGCCGGTAGACTGTCATTTAAGGCAAGAGACTTCGCCCCAAGCAAATAAAAAAAAAATTCCTTCAAAATATGTCAAAAAAACGAGAAAAACAAATACTTGAAAAAAAGAATTTCTTTTAACTATCATCAACGCGTGCACCTGTCTTCCCCTTTTTTCTGATCTACTTTTAAAATCCTTTTATTAAACCACCCGAATATTTTTTTTCTTTATTTGCACTTAACGTAACCTAAAAATTAATTAAAACACCATTTGATTAATTATTAAAAGACTATGTGACTAATAGTACCCCTAAAGGCTATTGTTAACCCATCCAATCTAATTACTCGTCATCCTCGAATGACTCCAAAAAGCCACTTGTTGTCCTTACCGGGAATTCGCCTGTCAACAAGAGCAGACGGTTTTTCCCCCTGATTCCATAATAAAATAATAATCAAATAAAACTCGAGAAATAACAAACTCAACAATCGAATTAATTTAAAAATCTAAATCTAATCCAAACTGAAATAAAATTAAAAAAACATAAGAAAGGTCCGCGACTCACCTGATAATAGCTAGACTCCGCCATCTTGTCAAACCACGGTACTCCACCGACTCACTCTCACCTCATCCACTATAAAATAAGGTCCATTTTATTCACGTGTATATAATTGAAAGAATCACAAAATTACACATTGTTATAGTATAGGGACGTTCCAACTTTCAACCGCAAACTACACCTCACGGTTTTTTCACAACCTCCGCAAAGACAATAAAGACGCGCCGCTCACGGATTAGAGCACATCACATTCCTCGTTCTCTCTCTCTTCACGAATATCTCGCACGACTGGAGCGAACAAAACTCTTGGGAGATCGTTTGCGCGCAACCAAGACGTGGCGATGAATTTCAGAACCCCGTGAACAATAAAAAAAAAAATACTTTCATCACCCTATATAATATTCAACATTTATCAAAAAAAAATTATGAATAAATATTCTTTTTAATAGTTGTTAACTTTAACGAGTTGTTTATTAAGAATAACAAAACAAAATTGTGAAAAAAGTGAAATTTTTTTTAGGTTATGATTAACAAAAATATTTACGCTTTTCCTTCTGTTTACATAAACCAGTCACGTTATATTAGACACTTTTTCTTATCACTTTAAACTACTGTGATTATTTGATTATAAGTTTTTAAATAGAATTTACAAGTAAATTAAAGGGTTCGAATAAGGATCTTTCATTATTACAGCACTGGATTGTACACTACCACTGTAATACTTGTTTTATACAATTAAATTTGTAAATATTTGTATAATATATACATTAATTAAGATGAAACTGTATTGTTATTGAAATACTTTTGTTTTTATCATAAATGAATCATTAAAATGTCAAAAAAAATTTTAACGACAAATTTTTTATATAAAACCACGTGACCAGGGTTGGGAACTCTGACAAGCGACGCGTGCGCAGACTCGTGGCGCGAACTTTAAATTTTTTTTCTAAAATTCCCTATAATATAGATTTTTATTTTAATGTGACGTCATCTTGACTACCAAATAGTAATATTGAATTTTACCGACGTGTATATAAATACTGATTTCTATACATATATATGTGTCGGTAAAATAAATATCTGCGCAAAATTACCACCTGGTGATGACGTCACATGAATACTCTATGCCAAAAGGTGGAAACTTTTTTTAAAGTGAGTTAACCTTCTATATATATGACTGTACATTTAAAATTTTGCGGGAAAATTGAAATCGTGTGCGTCGACTACAAAAATTGATTTTTTATTGACAGCATTCAATAAATTTGTTTTTATTTAAAATTTTTGAATTCTATTTTTTCTTTAATAATTAAAAATTAATATAAGAAAACTGTGTAAAAGTAAACAATGGAGAAAAATAAATAAAATAGAAAATAAATCTAATTATATATTAGAAAATTAATATACAAAAAAAAGATAAAAGAATAAAGGAAGTAATTAAAAATAAAATTTGTAAATAAAAGAAATTTCGTTTATTTATTTTTTTTTTTTTTTAAAGAACTAATTTTGATTTATATATGGAAAATATACAAAAGGTACAAAAATATAGACAGTGGACACAAAATAAATTCAAATTACAGATAAACACAATCTAATAAATAATATTGATAATGCATAATGGTATTTTTTATTATAATAACATAATTATTTAACATAATCACAATATCGATGGACCGGACGTAATTATACAAGTTTTAGGTAATACGTAATTTTTTTTTATAATTAATAATACGAAAAAGAATGAATGAATAATAAATAATACTAAGGGTCAGTACATAAAATATCATGTGTGGAACAAAAATGACCTCAAAGGTTTAAAAAAAAAAATTAGGTTTTTTTTTTCATAAAATTCTTCTCTAAAATGATTTTTAAATCTCAACAATTTTTTTTAACACTTTTTAAATATTCTCTACAATTTAATTTCATTTCTAATTTACTATTACTTTTTACAATAATTTTCCAAAAATATAATAGTGATTTTTAAATACAGTTTTCGAAAATATTTCACGAAAACATTTATCTTCAAAAATATATATTTTCTATTATTCTTTTTTTTTAAAGTCTATTCAATTTCTAAATAACAAATGCAATTATTATTTTTGCATTGAGAAAAAATGGTCATAGAATTAAAATTTATAGTCCTTGTTATCCAGAGGCTCTTCTTTTCTTGATCTTCCAAAAGTACCGCACATGACAAGGAAATTTGAAAAGGTATCACAATCTAAAATTTAAAAAATTATTTTTGTAAAATGAAAACAATTTCATAAAATGAATTATTAAATTTATTAATGTTAAAAAGTTTCTTTAAAAATTAAAAAAAAAACAACCCACCGGTATCAGTAAAACTGAATTAAAATTCAGTGAACTAGTAAAAATCATAAAGAAGATAACGATGAAGTGATTGCGGTACTTGAAGCCTTCGGACAATTTTCGGTAATTTTGTACCACAAAGTTTGCGAACAATTAATCTCGCTTGATGTGTTAATGGCAATGGTGTTCTCGCTGCTTCCATAACGAGTGCTTTTTGCGCATCCGTTAAACTACTCGATCTTCGAATCATACATGGATCAAAACTTTCGGCAGCCTCTAATAGTGCTTGTAATATTCTTGGTTTATCGGCGGTATTTTGTAATGAATTTAAAATTCCATGTGGATCACGAAATTGTGTTTTAATCACAACTCTTGCACCATATTTTAAAAGTAATGCCACAACTTCCACCGATGGATTTTCATTTGATGCAACATATTCAGCGAGTACTGGCCTTAATGATAAACCCTCATCGCTACGTATTACCAAATTTGGATCAGCGCCTCGTTCCAATATCATTGAAAGAATTTCCAATCTATTTGGTATATTGTCAGCGCAAGCTACATGTAATGGAGAACCAATTATTGGCGATGTTGCATTTACATTTGCTCCTGAAAAATTTTATTTTATTAGTCCAAAGAAAAGAATTTTTAATTTTTATTAATATTATAATCAAGAGATTCTGTTAGAAAATTTATTAGGAAAATTCTAATTTTTGTTGTTTATTATCATTTAATTGTCAAATTTTGTGACTTCAAACTCTTATTTATAAATTATTCTTTTCTTATTTTTGTTTACTTTTTTTTGTAATTTTTAAGATTTAGTTATTTTTTTTTTTTTTAAATTAACGCAAACGATACTTTAATTCGATTTAATAGATTTAAAAATGTACATAATTTTATATTTTTATATTAGAAATAAACTACAGAAAACTGAATTTTAAAATATGTAAAAGAAATCAGGTACATTTTATTTATTATTTTTTTAAATAAATTATCTGTTCTTTCCCAAAATTAAATTACAACTAATTGATTAATATTAACTTGCATTAATAAATTAGTTGCAGTTATTTAAATTTTACGAAATATAATAATGTATTTTTTATTCAAAAAATAAAATTCTGTTTTCTAATTTTTATAATAGAAATTTATATTTTTCTGACATTACTTAAAGACGTCATTCTCACAATTTCATTATGAATAATAAACAAATTTTATTTTCAACATAAATAACAGAATTATAAATTGAGCATCTGAAATTTTAAATTAACTTTTCAAATTCGAAACATAAAACATATTTTTTTAAATTTATCAATTTATGTTCAAATTATTTTCTAAATTAAATTATTTTTGAAGTGGAATTATTTTTAAATTAAATAATTTTGTAATTCAATTATATTTATTTGCTCGATTTAAAAAAGGAAAAAAAAACTTCAGTACAGCAATTTTTATATCGCGAAGGGCGAAATTGGTTAAAAAATTTTATTTAAAACTAAAAAGTGTTCAGAAACTTTTTTTTTAAATAAATCTTTCGTATATAGGAAATTTACAAAAATTAGACAATTGAAGTTAAAATTAAGAGAAATAAAATAAATAAATAAAATAATAATAATAATAATAAATAAAATAATAAAAAAGTCCAATCCAAAACAGAGGAAAAATCTCTGAGTCAATGAATTGAATTCACAAAATTATTAAATATGAAAATAATTAAATTTAAAAAAAAGTTTACAAAAAATAATTATTTTGCACCTAAAATAAATGAATTGTACAATAGATAATTAATTTTAAAAGAATTAAACTTTTTCAAACAATTAAAATTTTAATAAAATTGAATTTTTTTAAATAATTGTATTACAAAAATTCCAAGTGCTAAATGATTGAATATTTAATTAATTATGCTGCTAGATAATTATAATAATTTAAACGTAAGGATTTTTGAAAAATTGTAATTTCTTGAAAAAATACAATTTCTAAAAAAGAAAAAAAAATAGAAAAAAATTTATAAAAATACTCAAAATAATCGAATTTCAAAATTAATTTTGAAAATATATAATTTTAATTACTACAGAATTCCTGTTTTTAAATTCAAATAAATTCTGTATAAATGAATTTATTAATAAAAACAAAATTAATTTTGAAATTTAAAAAAAAATTACCTGCTTTAAGTAGCATTTCAACAATAGCCAAATCTCCCTTAAGAATAGACAAATCCAAGGCAGTTGGTTTTTGATAATCAACACCAAGATCAAGTGTTGCACCCTGTTTTAAAAGAAGATTGATAACAGCTGGATCACCACCAAGTATCGCATAATGTAAAACAGTTCGATAATCATTTCTGACATCTGCCATTGCATTCACATCAGCTCCATAGTGTAATAAAATAAGAACCGATGCGATGCCCTGCAAAACAATGATTAATTAACAAAAAAAAAAAAAAATTATTAGCTTATTCTAACGTTATATAAAATTTATTTCTTAATGTTATATACTGATAGCTTCCTAAAATATTTGCAATCTTCGATCACTTGCCAGAGAATCACTCTCAATATATACATATATATTTTAATTACATAATTAACAAATTTAAATTTTGTAATAATTTGGCATTTGATAACTATTTCGAAATCACTAATTAAATATGAAATATTAAAAAAAAAGAATATTTAAAAAAAAATATTCATTAATTTACTAATTTTTCAAATTCATTTTTTAAACTGATAAAATAAATTTTAAACAATTTTAATGAAGAAACTGTTTTATTTTAATTTTAATATTTTATTAAGCTTATGCTATCGTTAATGACCAATTAAAAAAATAATTAATGTGAAATAAAAATGAAAATTATTATTATAAATTTTAAAAGAAAATTCGAATTTTTATTATTAAAAATAATGAATATCAGCGTAGCTTCATTCTAAGTGAAATAAACTGTTTTTCGTCAGACGAAATTCAATTTTCTACTGTTTTCACATATGTATTTTACGTGTAGCTTTATTTTAAGTAGAGTAAACTAAATTCAGTCATACACAACTTCTTTTCACTGATTTCCTCCTTTCCTAAGTAGAATAAATCGTTTTTGTTCATCCTCAACCCCTATTTTTTTTCTTACAAGCCAAAAAAATCGTTTATCAACAATTTGATAAATGAAATTTTCTTCATTATTATAATTACCATTGTTAGGTAATAATATAATAATAATAATAATAATAATAATAATAATAATAATAATAATAATAATAATAATAATAATAAAACTAATAATTATTATGAAAAAAAGGTAAAATTAAAAAAAAAAACAAAAAGAAAAAATTACAAATTAAGTAAAAATTATCTATTTGACAAATTCACTAAATAATAAAATTATGTAAATTCACTACAATTGTATAGATTCCATGAAAATTAATTAAGTTTTAAAAATTTTCAATGTCGACTTTTCTAAAGATACAAAAATTATCGAAACCTATAAAAAATAGATTTTTGAAAAAAAAAAGAAAGTAGAAAAAAGAAATAATTTTACAATTAAATAAGCAAAAAAAATTTCAATGAGAATTAAAATAAAAAATATAATAAGATGAAGAAAACTAATTATTTATTAAATAAATAAATAATAAAGTAGATAAGAAAATATTAATATTATATGAAAATTTAAAAAAATAAATAAAATAAAGTAAAATTAAAAAAAAAAAATTACCTGAGGCAACCTGGCAGCTTTCATGAGAGGAGTGAGTCCAGCTCGATCTCTCGTATTTGGATGAGCACCAAAAGCCAAAAGTAAATCCATACACTCCAAATCCAGTGGCGAGACCAAATTAATTTCGGAACCAAAAAAATATTTTTTATTCGGATTAGCACCAGCTTCTAAAAGTGTTTTTGCAACTTGTATGTGACGATTTCTCAAAGCCAAACGCAATGGCTCATCACACAATGTGGTTCTTAAAGAAAAAAAAAAGAAAGAATTTCACTAATTATTTAAAGTCAATTGAATTAATTTCTATTTTTATTATTTAATATTTTTAAATAAATGTAAAAAATTCCATTATCCACTAAAAGTAAATTTACACAAAATAACTAAAAATAACTAAAAATGTAAAATTTATTTAAAATTGAAATTTTAATTCTTAATAACACAATTTTAACAATTAATTGAAATTAAACTAGTAAATAATTGAATATTTAAAAAATTGGATAAAGAAAATATTCAATTGTAGAGAAATTGAAATTTGATAATAATTAAATTTAAAAGAATTTGTAATTTTTTGAAAAACAATTGTTATTTTTGTATTTTCACTGAATTTTAACCAAATAATTGAATTTTGTAATTTAATAAATGAATAATTGCATTTTCAAAACAAATTTTTTTCTAATAAATTAAAAAAATTTCCTGTTTTGTGATTTATAACAACTAAAATCGTAATGTAGGTTTAAAATTGAAATTTTAATACAAATAACTGAATTTTAACAATTAATTGAATTAAACTAATAATTAAATTTTCGAAAAGTTGGATAAAATAATTATTCAATTGTAGAGATATTGAAATTTTATAATTATTGAATTTACAAGAATAGAACATTTTTGAAAAACAATTGCAATTTTAATTTTATTCGAAAAGTTGGATAAAATAATTATTCAATTGTAGAGAAATTGAAATTTTATAATTATTGAATTTACAAGAATAGAAAATTTTTGAAAAACAATTAGAATTTTAATTTTGTTACTGAAATTCAACAATTAATTGAATTTGAAGTAATTAAATTAGCCAATAATTGCATTTTCAATTAATTGAATCTGCAAAAAAAATTTATTTAAAAATGATTCAATCATAGAGTACTTGAAATTTTATAATAAGTAAATTTACAAGAATTGGACATTTTTGAAAAAAAAAAATGAAATTTTAACAAATAATTGAATTAGATTCTTAAATTTGATTACATTACCAAATAATGAAATTTTTATTGAATCGAATTAAAAAAAAAAAAAACAATTTACTTTTCAAAGCAAAATTTTTCTGTAAATTTATTTTGTAAATAATTAATTTTTTATTAAATTAATAAATTACCAGAGGGTAAATAAATTTAAAAATTAATCGAATTTGGAAAAAAAAATGAAGAAAAAGTTCCAAAATAATATTAGAGTATAAAAAAATATATGAATTTGTAATTAATTAAATTTGCAAAGAAAAAATTGGATAAAAAATGATTAAATTGTAGACTACTTGAAATTTTATAATAATTAAATAAAAAAAAAAAAAAATTGAACATTTTTTAAATATATAAAATTTTAGCAAATAATATTTGAATTTAAATTTGATTAAAATTACTTTTCAAAGCAATTATAATTGTTTTTTAATTCAATTTTGTAGATAATCAATTTTTCATTAAATTGAACTGCCAGATCAAAGAAGGGCACATAAATAATTTAATTCAAATGAGTTATGTGCCCTTCTTTGATACGGCAGGTCAATTAATAAATTACTAGTGCAAATTAATTGTAAAATTACTCGAATTTAGATAAAAAAAAAAAAAAAAAAAAAAAATTGGTTCTAAAGTAAAATTAGAATAGTGTGAATGAATTTTAATATTTTAATAATATTAAATTTGGAAAAAAAATTAAAAAAGTAAAGGAAAAATTTCTTTTAAAAAAAAAATAATACCTGGGAAATAATTCATCGGTGTCCTGTCGATGATCGACCTTGGCACCATATTTAAGTAATAGTTTGACAAGATCAAGATAACCGTGTTCAGCAGCAAGATGCAATGCGGAATATCCGCATTCATCAGTGGCATCAATATCGGCACCTCTCACCAATAATAATTGCGCAGCATCCTCATATCTTTGCCAAACAGCATAATGAAGGGGCCTAAGGCCCTGTGTAACCACATCATTTGGTTTTGCACCGCATGCAAGGAGAATCCTTATCTCATCAAGTGGTTGCATTCGAATTATTGAGTCGGCCAATTCCCGTTGCAACGGATTAGCGATGCACTCGGACGGCATCTGAAACGCAAATTACGAAAGACATACTCTCACAATATTATTGCATCATTCCACGCGAATGTATTGAGCCAAATCATTATATGCATTGAACCAGATTTCTTCATTTGAAGGATATTTGCAAAAAAAAAAAAAAAGAAAAAAAAAATTCTCTTATTAATTTTCTAATTAAATTAATTGTCATTATTTTTCTCAAACAGAGAAAGAAGACAAATAATAAAATGTCTGTTGTTGAAAAATTTTCACATCGCATTTATTTTGTAAAATGAACTTTTTGGTAAAATGACTGGAGAGAATTTAAATTAATTTCATAAATATGTTGCCATTATTAACCACTAACTGCGAAAATATCATTTTGCTTTGGCTTGCCTAACTTTTCTGCGTCTTTTTTTTGGAGAATATCCAAGTTTTGCAAAATATTCTATGGAATATTAAGAATTTCTAAAAAAAAACGATGATTTTCTTTTAAAAAAAAATAATAATGAGACAAGTGGCTTCAACTTATATTGTTTTTTATCGCAGAATATGAAAATTAAAAAAAGAAAAGAAAGAAAAATTATATAGTAAAAACCAAATGAAATAATAATTAATGATTTTATAAATTCATTTCTAATAATAATTAATTTGTAAATAATTAATTTTAAAAAGTATTAAAAATAATTTTGAGATAAATAAAAAAAATTAACATTTTTTGTAATTTACAATATTAGTAAATTATTTGATTTTGTTTTCACTTCACTAACTTTAAATGGTCATAAATACTATTATATATATATGTATATTTAATTGCAATGATTATTATTGTGCCAAAATGACAAGCAATTGAGGTACAATGACACTCTATAAATAACTTGACGATATTAATAAAATGCAAATTTTCTATTTTCTCATTATATTATTCTATCACTTCAAAAATTCAAAAAAGAAAAAAAATTCTGTTCACACAATTATGATTGATTAAAGTCAAAAAATAATTTTTTCAACTAAAATAACTAATTTTTATGATTATAAAATTAATAGAGCTAAATATAAAACTAAAAAAAATATGTACTTGTAATTTGTACTTTGATTTTCAAAAAAAAGACGTAACACATTTTTCTCTGACATAAAAATATAACAAAAAAAAAAATATTTTTTTAATAACGAAAATTAAAAAAAAAATCTACATTTTTAAATTATTAATTTGTAAATAAATTTTATTTTCAGAAATAAAAAATCAAAAACTAGAAAGATTCCTTTTTTGTATTTAGTAAATAAAAAAAATTTTTTTATGAAAATATAATTTATTTATTTTTCAAAGAAAAGAATTTTCTTAAATTAATGCAAATTTTTTTTGCGTTCAAAAAATAAAATCTACGTGCAGCAAAAAATGTATCCAAAGTTAAAAAAAAATATTAATATGAACATGGAAATTGAAAAAAAGACTTTATTTATGAAAAAAAAAATGTAACTACTTCGAAATAATTTGATTTCAATCTGGACGTCACGGCATGCAAACAACTTTTATCGTGCTTTTACAGTATTTTTTTTTTTTTTTTTTTTTTTAATAAAAATACGCACTTTTGGATAAAGTAAATATCTAATATCACTCTTTAAAGAATCCAGTTTCTGTAACGAAAAGAAGCATATAAATTTTAACACCACAGTATTTGAGAAAATATTTATTATTTATTTAAAAAAAAATCCCAGACTTAAAAATTTGTTTTCCCACAAAAAAATAAAATCATTTCGTAGAAAATAAGCAAAAAGAAATTTTTTTTTGCAAAATTAAACAAACAAAATTTTAAAAAATAAATGTTTATCTTCTTTAAATTTATAACTTTCGATTCGATTAATTTAACAAAAAAAAATTATTATTTACTATTTTTTGTATTGAACCAACGAAAGGCTGAAGTTAACTAATAAATATTAATTAATTAATATAAAAAAATATCAGTAAAATATAATTTTTTGAAATTGTATATTTTTTTTCGAAGCTTATGGGAAAGAAAAAATTGCAAAATTTTGTAAAAGTACACAATGGAAAGAAATATATAATTTAAAAAAATTTTAAATAGATAATAAAATTTAAATTGATAAAAATAAAGAATAGAATTATATAGAACATTGAATAAAATTTGATTATTGATTTTATTAGTTGCATATAATAGAATCAAGGTTGAAAGTGCCTTGAAAATTTTCGCTTATAAAACATTGCCTTGTATTTGAAAATATATATATATTTCTCTATAGTAGACAAAAAGGCCGGTTCATATAATTTCCTGTCGAAGAAAAGTGTCAGGAGCGACAATTTTGAAATGAGTGCCAAGAAAACGACGCAAATTTTGACGATATGATACCGGAAGCTCACGTGGGAAATTCACGCAGTCTGCCACACACACAACAAAAGTGCATGGCAATGTCCTACGCAATATTTATATTTAAATTCTTATATATACATGAATGAAAATTATATATTTCCAATTTTCTCTCATAGGGGAAAACCTTCCTTTAAAATTTAATATTTTTTTTTTTTTTTTTTTGAAATAAATTTATTTTATTCAATAAAAAATTTATTTCGAAATTGAAATTCTTTTAAGGCCAAAAATATTAAAATTATTCCTTTTTTTATTTTAAAAAGTAAATAAAATTTAAAATTTATTGTAATTTCCAGTGAGGCAATGTCTTTTTATAGATTAATGATAAATTACACGAGTTAAGTAAATTTAATTCTGTATTTATAAATTTTTGATTTAAAATAATAATAAAAAAAAAATTAATTAAATTTCATTTTGATAATTATTTGAAAAGATTTGATGGAATTAATAATTTGAACACGTGGGAAATATTTACATTTGAATGTAAATAAAAGCAATGTTTCATTGGCAGCAAATTAAATAGGCAAACATAATTTTAATTATAATTTGCAATTATATTTTTTTCATTTTTATAATTTTCAAAAAATAATAAAGTAATAATAAATCAAAAAAAAAAATAATAAAAAAATTTTAATTTGCTTGTGAAAATAATTTAAATTTAAATTTTTCAAACTAAAAATTTTAAATAATTAAAATGTCCCCGAAATGTCAATTTTAAGGCACTTTCACTTTTTTGAACACTATTAAATAAATAAAAGAGGGTGAAAAAAAATGATTCTTCCGGTTGGTGGTTGCCCCGGATTTCCGGTCCTCCCATCTGACAACCCTGACCAACATAATGTTCGATCCACGAGAGTGACTTTGGTCACACACACATACACACAGAGGGTGAAAGAAGTGGGAGAAATTAAAAGTAAACTTTAAATGAACAAAAGAAAATTCAAAATGATTTTATAAAATAATTTATAAAATATATATATAAAAAAAATTGAATGACTAAATTAATTATATTTTTGTTTATAACATATATATACTTACTTCGAAAATTGTACGATGCTCCAGCATGTAGAAACGATATTATGAACTGCCTTCTTCGTTGGAAACTCGGTCCTATTTAAAGCTTCGAACTGTGATTCCGCCGAAAATAACACAAAGGGATCATGAGGAGAGAGCTTGCGCATATGAAGAAGTCAAATAAGAGAGAAAGAGACAGTGATGGAGAGAGACAACAGCAACACAGCAGCGAATCTTCATTATAATTGAAGCGCAAAGAGGGGGTTGAAAACTCAAAGAACGACGCAATTGCGCGTCGCGACGCCGACGAGACTTACGAGCGCCTCACCGGCAATCATTGTCCTCGTGTTTTCATTTACCTGTAAAAAAAAAGAGAGAGAGAGAGTGTGTGAAAACAAATACATTCGATTTCTAAATATTCGATAAATTTACTTGCGTACAAAAAAGGGGTGAACGACTTTTATAGGGTTTCAAGGGAAAAATTTCCTACGATGGATTGAAATAGAAATTTTTCTTTTTTTTCCCCCCTTTTTTTAAGATATTTTTTCCTATATTTTTCATAAAAGATATTTATTTAAAAAAAAATATTTTTGTATATCAATTTTCTTCAAAAAGCAATTGTTTTTAGAAAAGGAAATTTAAAAAAAAATATTCTTTGAATAAAAAAATTTTATTTTGTAATGGATTAAATTAAAATTAAAAGAAAAAAATTCTGGAATTTTTTAAAATTAAGAAAATTTGTTTTAAATAAATTAAATCTCTTTACATAATATAATTATTACAATTTGATAAATATTCTTTTTATTTAATTATTTCTACTTACTAAATTTAATTATTTAAATATTTTTATTTATCGTTTTTAATTAAGCAAAAATCAAACAAATGTAAAATTGTCTAAAAAGAGTGTAATTCTAACTTAAGGAAGTAAATAAAATGTTAATTTGGAGAAAATAAATTTTCGCATTTCCTTTCAAGTGACAGTCGTAAAGAATAAAAAGGAGAAAAAAATAATAAAAGAAAAGGGAAATACCAACGATACGTACCTAAAGTGAAAATAGAATTTACTGAGAAATTTAAGCGGGTCCTTTCCTTTCTGGTAAAATGCAAATGGTAATTCTGGTATACGCAGAGAGACACAAGAGAACAAAACGTCAAATCTCAACGAGAGTGCATTGCACTCGCTGACAATATTTAAACAAAGCGATATCCAAAAAAAAAAAAAAATTCCTCTTCAATCCTTTTTGACTAGAAATTAAAATTCTCTTTCTTCTTCTTGTTATTTTCAATTTTTTTTCCAATTATCACCATTTCTTTAATTTTTTCTTCTTCATTTCCTGATATTTCTTCAAACATTTAAATTCTTCTTCTTTTGTAATTTCTTTATTTTTTCATTTTTGTTTTATTTCAATTTCTTCAAAATTTCTCCAAAAAAATACTATTTTTTTTTTCAAAAAAAAAGAGAGAAAATAGTCTCGACAAGTTCGGTGTCCCTTTGGTCGTCTAGAGCATTAATAAATCCTTAGCTTAGTCTGAAGTGCGAAAACTTATTTAACTTGCATACTTCAGACAGTAATAAGAAGAAAATTCAAGGGACAAAGTTCCATGAGGCTGAAAAAAAGAAGCAAACGGAAAAAAAGCAAAATGATGGTAAATTTTGGAAAAAAAAGTAAAGAAAAGACAAAAAAAAAAAGATGGAGATTAAAAACTAAAAGAAGAAATACATTTTTTTAAAAAAAAGAACAAAAAATGTTTTCCTTTTTTAAATTAACTTTTCTCTAGTTTTAAAATTATTATTATTATTACTATTTTAAAATTAAAATATCTAGTAAAGTGTAAAAATTCTCAATTAAAAAATAATTTGTTGAAAACTACAGCAAAACAATAAAAATAAATATAAACAGAAATAGAAAAAGAAAGTATAAGAAATTAGTGATAACAAAGAAATGAATAAGTAGAAACGAAGAAAGAAAAGAAGAAGAAAAATCGTAAAAAACAGTTAAAAAAAAAATGAAAAAAAAATAAAAAAAGAAAAGAACAGTTTACAAAAGTTTGTAAATCATAAAGAAACAAAAAACAGTTTAAAAAAGAATAAAAGAAAAATTGAAATAAAAAGAAGAGAGAAAATGAAAAAAAAAACAATTAAGGAAAATAAAAAAAAGTACCTTTTAAAAAAAGAAGATAATTTTTGGCAAAAATTATTAATTGTAATATCAAGAGCCTCTCTCTCTCTCTCTCTCTCTCTCTCTCTCTCTCTCTCTCTCTCTCTTTCTCTCTCTTTCTCTCTATCTTCCCTAGAAACGTGCTAAAAGTATATATGAAGTTTGTGTGATCCATAAATATATTAAGTTATATTTGAACGCAATTTTCATGAGCACATGTATTATAGTCGAAGAGATGGTTGATGTTCAAAAAAGAAGAGAGCAAAAACACGTGGTAACGAGGCCAAAGTCCGCGATGATCAATTTCAAAGCTCTTTTTCAAGGTCTTCAAGGTCGACAATGCCTTTTTCTTCTTCAACATCATCTTCTTTTTTCTTGATTTGAAAAAATAATTTTTACACACTTTTTTTTTTCTTTTCTCTTTCTCTCGTATACAAAAATCAAACTTCCTTATCGTTTCCACCCACGAAGAATTGCGCACTTTCTTGAAATCCATAAATATATATAATAATAAACCATTATTTTACGCGCTTCAAAAATTCTCCTAAAATATTCATCTTCAACTGCAAAGAAAACACAAAATTCATTATTAAAATATATTACTGAAATAAATCGTTAAAAATCATACAACGATATTTTTGAAGATCATAAACATTTGAAATGATAAGATTCACAAATAATAATTGAAAATAAATTTTGATTGTTTCGTCTAAAAAAAAAATGCTCCAAAAATCCTGAATTGCCGCTAAAGAATCTGAAATAAAGAAGAAAAAATATTAGTACAATTTTTTTAAATATAAAATTAAAAAAAATTTTAAAAAACAAATCTTTTCCATACCTATTTTTTTTTTATTCTGCTGATTGAAAAAATGTCATTAAAAGTTCTGAAATTGTATTATTTTTCTTGATTTAATTACATTAAGAATTTTAATATTAAAACAGAAAAGGGTTTATTTTTTGAAAACAAAAACTGATTTTTCTTATTTATAAAAATGTCGAGAGAAATTAAAGCAAAAAAACAATTAAAATTTCTTTTAAACGTACTTTTATTAAGAAATACTTTGCATTTTGTTAAATGCCTTATATCTGTAATTAATGGTAATTATAATATAATTATTGTTATAGCATTACTCTAAGTTTCTACCTATAAGCATGCTTTACTGACACATCTTAAAGTAACATACTCTTAAAACACCTCTTACGTTCTAATTAAACAAAAATACTTGGATTTCGTGGAGATGCAAAGTCGGCTTTGTTTGTTTCTTTTTTTTTTTTTTTTAATTTCTATTGTAATTCTTATTGTTGCAGTTCAGGAACACATTGCTGATAAATTTTAAGAGTCAACTGTAAACAATGTCCATTATTATATATGACGGGCCAAATATCTCTCTCTCTCTCTCTCTCTCTCGCTCTCTTTCTTTCTCTCACTCGTTCTCTCTCTCTTTTTTTTCAGATCGGTTGCGCCGATTGCGCGAGGCAAGTCAAGAAAAGTTTTTTTCATTTTTTTTTCAATATTATATATACTTCTCTCGGTTTATTTTTTTTTCACGTTTACAATGGTTACGACGTTTACCAAACTCGTGGAATGATCTACCGATTAAGGCAATGCAATAGTGAATATTTCTTTCTACAAATACGCAGTTTTTTTAATTATTTTTTTTTATTTTTTTTAAACTTCCTCGCTTTGCAGTTTTTTTTTTTGTCTATTTATACAAATTCACGCCCAACACAGCGCTGTATCGCTGGACATGAAACACGATTTCATTTTGGTAACTGGCAGTTAGACCCAAGTCGTTGCCAAATTCATCGAAAAGAAAAAAAAAAAATTGATTAATTAAAAGAAGAAATTTTTCTTTTCAAAAAATTTTTTTTTGTTCAAGAAAAAAAAAAAAGAAATTAATCGCTTGATCACTATCGCAAGATTAACGACTATCTATATAGTTACAAACACTCCGCTCTCCTTTTTTTTAACCCTTTCATATACACACACGCACACACACAACAAAGTGTGTCTTAAAAAAGGGTATTTTTTTTTTGTTTTAAATCCTGCGAGTTTATCGAACTACAATGTACCTATTGTTCACAAAAAAAAAAGAAGTCTATAGTCGAGCCACTTTTCGTATAAGCGTTTATTTTTATTTTTTTTTTAAACATTACTTTCGCTTTGTCATAACGCTTCAATTAAAAAAAAAAGTTTCTCGCAAAAATGCTGGAAGTTCCGTTTTTTATTCTCTCTCTCTCTCTCTCTCTCTTTCTCTCACAATTAATAATATTTGACAATAATTTCCCAACATGGGAAATAATTATTGTTTTTTTTTTTCAAACTATATAAAAAACGAACAAACAAAAAAAAAAAAGAAATTTCACAAACTTCATTTGTGGATTTTTTCCCCCCCTTTTTAACACACAAAATACTGCAGACGCATATCTATTAAAAAAAATAGACATAACTCAGATCAATGTACAAATTCTCTTAATCGTCATCTAAGCTTAATAAAAAAAAAAACAAAAAAAAATCTGTAAATAGAAAAATAAACAGTTTCATGACTGTAATTTACTTCTTTTTTTTTTTTTTTTTGAAATTTTTGAAATTTCAAGTTTTAAATTCTTTTATACAATGAAAACTTAAAATTTCTCCCCCACTCCCCCCAAAAAAAGTCATTTAACTGTTTCGTTTTCTTTATTCTTAATCGCAAAAAAATATATCTACAAATAATAATACCAAGGTAAATTAAAAAAAAAGCAAAAAAAAAAAAATATATATATATGTATGATGGAGAGGGTATTATGGATGACAAAGAGCGATTGTGAAATTAAATACGATCTGCCTCAAAGTGGCTAACTTACATACTGCTATAAAGTGGCTAACATAGTTATTTAAGTATCCTTCATTCGTATCTTTGATTGTTGTTTTTTTTTTCGTTACACGCTGCAATACATTATTATTTTTTTTTTTTTTTTTTTTTTTATAATACACATGAGTATGACACGGAGTTTCACTAAAAAATATAACGTTAGATACGCTGAGCATTACTGGCTTTAAGCACTCTGCTAAAGTCACATAAAACGACGCACTGTGTTATTAGAAAACTAATTACTTTTCATTGGTTTGAAATACTGGTTTAGATATAGATCTGTATAAAACCTTTGTCAACTGGAACTCTTTGAACAATGATTTATATCTTAAAAATGAGCATAATCGAAAGAGTGCCTATTTACATTGTCACATATAAGAAGAGAGATCGTTGGGATTTCTAGCACAAAACTTATTAACATAACAAAAAAAGCAAAAAAAAAAGAAAAAGAAAAATTGCTCTCGATTTTGGTAATCGACTATATAAACAGTGGGATTGTCACTATTTTCTTATTTTACAAGCAATTTCTTTTTTTTCAATCACTTGATTTACAAAAATATTTCATTTCATTGTAAAAAAAAAGAAATTTTTTTAAAATTTCATTTTAAAAAATAATTTTTAAGTTCTTTAAAAGAAATTTAATTTTTACTTTCTATAAAACAAAAATTTGAAATTGAGATTTTCAAATAGCAATCGAGTGATTTTTTTTTTCGATTTTCCCTTCGCTTTTATGATTTTCATTTCTTAATATTAGTTCAGTTTTGAAGAAATGTGAAATTTCTGAGTTAAAATTTTTGAAATGTTTACAATTAAAAAAAAAAAAACAATTTTAAAAAAATAAATTTCTTTCAGAAAAAAATCACATTTTTTAACAATACTCGATTTCACTATTCATTTTGATCTTTATATTTAATTTTTAATTCAGTTTCTTATTTTCACTTCTTTATTTCTTCATTAATTTATAATTCGTCAGGAAACAAAAAATATAAAAATTAATAATCAAAAATTCATTTGGAAAAAATTCAATAAAAATATTTCTTTAAAAAAATCACATTATTCTAAAATTCATAATTTTTCACACACATTTTCGAATATAAGAATAATAATAAACTATATCGAAATGCTATTATTTGATTATAAAACTAATTTTGATTTAATTATTACATTCCTATTATTTATAAAGATTCTAACAAAATAAAGTTAATATCCAATAATATTATATTTATATATATATATATACAAAAAATTCTATTAAAATTACAATTTGGAATTAAATTTCATTTACTTTGGATCATTAACACTTTAGTTAAAGTATTAAATAAATTTTTTTTCCCATTTTTTTTTTTACGAAAATACGTCTAAAAAAATAATTTCTCAATTTACAAAATTACTTTTTTTTTACTCAAAATGCTACAAGAAAATCTCTAAGATAATTTTTATCAAATATATAAATATATAAAAAAAAGAAGACAAATTGAAAAGTAAAAAATAGAAAATAAAAATTGAAATAAGACGAAAAAAACAAAATTTATAAAAATTTAAAATATAAAAAAAAGGAAATAAGAGAACAATCCCAAACTACAAAAAAATAATGCCACTTATTGCGAGCAAACTACATTTAATTATAAACTATAAATATAAAGGTATTAAAATAATAATAATCAGTGTAAAAAAAAGGTAATATGTACTTGACTCTAAAAATATGTTTAACAAAAAAAAAGACGATAAACATCTTTACAATTTACGATTATTATTATTATCATTATTATTATTATTATTTATTAATTAATAATAATAATCATTATTATTAACTATCAATATAACAATGTATTTGGCACTCTTTCGAGACTATGATTTTTTTTTTATTATTATTATTATTATTTTTAAAGTGTTCACTGCTCGTTTATTGCATTAATGGAAAAATATGGCTTCATCTGAATGCTATTTAACAAAGGCAATACATCGTACCATTTACGCTGCATACGCCACTGCTGTCATGTTATGAGAATTCTTTGAAAAGGCAGAACCACTTTCGAAGAAAATAAAAGTTTTTTTTCTTCATTTGAAACGAATTTTTATACTCTCTCTTATTTTCCTAAAAAGTGGCAAATCTCTACGTTTCTGTTACAGACTTGTTTTTTCATTACTTCATCTTTTTTTTTTTTTTTTTTTTGTACACTAACATGTTAAAAGCATTATTATTATTATTATTAATATTAATATTATTATTATTATTACTCTAGATACATCGTAATTTGTAGTCTCATGTGATGCCTAACAAAGCTAAGGGTAAAGTTTTCTTTTCTTTTTTTTTTTGTTTTTCAACGAATTACCAGTCCTTGCATTATGTAAAAGTCAATAAGGTACATATGGTCGGGCAAAAGAAAAAAAAAATTCACTTTCCCTTTTTGCATTGTCTACAAAAATATTTGTATATAATAAAGGGAGAAGGTGGTATTTTTTTTTTGAGGGGGGGTGGGAGGGGATGTAACTCCTAAAGCGTTACGTGGTTATATGCGGCAAGTGTTTTTTTTTTTTTTTTTTTTCCTATCATTTTCTCTTTTTTGCAAAAAAATTTTTTTTACCCCATTACTTTTTTTCTTTTTTTGATCTTCATTATTATTCGCCGAACAGGGAATTTCTACCACAAACTATTAGTAATAAACAATATGGATTATTTGTTTGTTTATTAAGTATATATATATATATATATATATATATATATATTTTCATCATTATTTTGTAGACCATTTTCATTTTTTTTTCATTTTTTTTTTTTTTTTTTTGGAGAGACTCGGCAAAAATTCTCCAAATGTGAGGGGATTATTATAATTATACCCGTTCGTTAAATAAAGACATTGTAGCACGCCCTTTATATATATGTATTTATTATATATATATAAATATATAAATTGGCGTTTGCCTCGAAATAAAAAAAAATTTACTGCAGTGCTCCTTACAATTTTTTTTTTTTTTTTTAAACTCTGCAGCAACTCTCATTTAGAAACTTTTTTGAATGCTCAATACAATGCATTCCTTATTATTATTATTTTTTTTTTTTCTTTTAAAAAAGATTTAACTATATACGAAAGTAAAAGTAATAAAATGCTTCATCTAGGCAGACTATTTTGTTTTATTTCGTTCTATTTTTTTTTTTTATTTTTTTTTTTGTTTCTTTATGAAAACGGGAAAGGTCACGAAGTATCGGGCCCTAGTCATGGAAAGTCAGGTTGATTAAAAACGTAAAAATAAAAAAAAAAAAAAAAAATAAATAAATTGTCCAAAAGTATTGACTCAAAAAACTTAAATTCCGAGAGTCACTGATCACTAAATAATAAACATCTAAAATCAACCACAATTTTTTTTCTCTCTCTCTTTCTTTCTTTCTTTCTCTTAGCAAAAAAACCACAACATGAGAAGCAATGCTCGCTATATATATATAAAAAAAAAAAAAATTTATATAAACTTATCTAGGCAGCGTACATAAATAAAAACAAGGTAAAAAAAGATATGCGGGTAAATATATAATATATATATATAATATATAAGTAAATAATTAATCGTCGTTCGCGGTAACGTAAATTATATATATATAGTCTTAAAAAAAAATGGGAGAGACGAGGGGGAGGGGGGCGAGGGGGAAAAAAATGGGGAGAAAAAAATCATCGGTATTCGGATTTTTAAACGAGCTCGTAATAAGCTGAGATCGAGTTTTTTTTTTTTTTCTTTGCAAGATTGTTCGTCCCATGTTGTGTGTATAAGGGTGTTTTCTTTCTTTTAAATCATCATTTCATTATAAGATTTATTTACACGTGATAGAGCTGTTTAAGACCGATGCACAAAAATAATAATATGCAATTCAATTTTATGCATGATTTTCATGAACTTCGTATTTATACGAATTATTCTTTTTTTCTTTGCAGTTTTGGCAATTATTATTTTTTTTTTAAAAAAACGATTTTTTTTTTTTTTGTTAAGCCAACACTGAATAAGAAATTTTTTTTGGGGGGGGGAAGAAAACATGGGGACAAAGGGGGGTTCAGGGATGAGGGAGAAGTCTTAAGACAGCTCTAAATTAGCGACACTCAATTTGTTCGACTGTAACTCAAGTCTAGAAACTTACTACTGGCGCATAAAACTACTGTAGGCTGGAGTTTAGGCTCTCTGGTAAGCGGAAATTCATCATGTGATAAGGTGGACTCGCAGGACTGCTTGGTTGACTATTCATTCCAGTTGCGCCCGCACCACGTCCTCTTTTTCGCCTTTGAAGAATTCCTTTTCTCACCATGTAAAATCGAATGGTACTTATTGGAATTTTATATTTTTCAGATGCTACTTGAAATGTCATTCCACGTGCAACCATGTCTGATGCCTGTTTTAATTCCTCTTCCGATCGTCGTTGTCGTCTTTGATAGCCTGAAAACATCAAATTTCATTAGTTTCTTTTCATGTTCGTAAAAGAAAAAAAACTGATCCTTTAAAAAAAAAAAAAAATTAATTATTTTTTTATCTCAGAAAATTTTATTCTTTTTTTCGTTGATTAAACAAAAATTTTTAATTAGTTCAATTAAATTAGAATTCTATTTTCTTTAATTTCATTAATCAAAAAAAAGTATTTAGTTAATATATTTTTTTATTTTCAATTTTCTCTCATTTTCTTTTAAATATTCCAATAATTCATGGTAAAATCTATGAAAATATTTTTATAAAAAAAAAAGTACTATCATTTTTTATTCAGTTAGTTTTTTTTTAAGTTTGCGGAAAAAAAAATTCTTTGTAATTAGTACACAATGGAAAGAATAAATCTATCTACAAAAAAAAAAAAAATAATTTATTAATATTTATTCCATGTACACCTTTTAGCAGGCAAGCTATTGATTTTCAAACCCTTACATTATTCATTGCTAATTCATTACTAATTTTTTTTTTTTAGCGAATTTTTAATTAAATATGTAAAATCCTTTTTTATTTCAGAAAATGTTTATTTCTTTTTTCGCTGATTATAAAAATTTAATTAATTTATTTAAATAAGAATTTTATTTTCTTTAATTTCATTAAAAAATTTAATAAAAATTCATTATATATTTTTTCGTTTTCTATTTACTCCTTTTTTTTTAAATATTCGTACCATTAATAATTAAATCTAAAATAATAATTTTATGGAAAAAAAACTAATTTATTTTCACAAAATGCGATTTACCACGATACTCAAGTCCACAGTGTTTATGATTATTTATTAACAGGGAAAATTATAAAAAATTTTATCTTGAAAAAGTTTTTTTTATAATTTTTCGATCAATAAACATTGCAGGAATTATCTTTGAGACGAAAATTCATAGAATTTTTCACGCAAAAAAATATTTCTCTAAAAATTGATGCGAATTTCAGTATTATGATTTATCTGTATTTTCTTCTTGAAAAAAAATCATTTAAAAAAATGAAAAAATACTTATATTATAAAAAAAGGTAGTTTCCAGAATTTTTTTTACATTTCCTGTTACTCTCTTTTTTTTAAATAAAAAGGTGAAAGGCCTCAGAGTATGAGTCAAAACCTTAATATAATAATTAATTTTAATTTTCTGAGAATATTCAAGTGCGATTAAAATAATACTACTTTCAAACGATAAAAATGTATATCTAACAACATTTTGGACAAATGGTGTTGTAACGGTTAATTGAAAAATAAAAAGAAAAAAAAAAAAAAAAGAAAAAAAAATCCGCTCTACACCAAGAACAAAGAAAGAAGAAGCAGAAGAAGAAGGCAAATGAAGGCGACCTTCAAAACCCCACTCTTTTTTCTTTCGTTCGCCTTTGTATCTTAAAACTAACACATTGATTAATAAAAACTTACACATTCACACAAATTTCCGGTTACCAATGTATCGGGAATTATTTGTGCCATACAATTTAAAAACAAATTCGGCTAACACAAATTTATTTCTAACATAATTTTCTAACTCGAAAACTTACTATTCAACTTTAAATTTGACGAGATTTTTGTACTTCATTTTCCTTTTCTTAATCAAATTCTAATTTGTCAATATTTCAAAAATTTAATACTAATAAATCGGTATAAAATTTAATAAACATGAAATTAAATTTACTAATTAAAAAAAGATTTCCAATTTCTATGATTTTCTAACTTAAATTACTAAGCTTTAAATTGAGAGTTTTTGAACTTTTTTTAATTTTCTTAATTAAATTCTAATTTGTCAATATTTCAAAAATTTAATACTAAAATGTAAATTTAATTTAAAAAAAAATAAATTTTCCTATTTAAAAAAAAATATTTACAATTCCTATAATTTTCTAACTTAAATTACTCAGCGCGTTTTTGAACTTTTTTTCATTTTCTTAATCAAATTCCAATTTATCAATACTAAATTAAAAATTTAATACTACAATGTTTAGTATAAAGTTTAATAAATAGAAATAAATTATACTAATTAAAAATAAATTTGAAATTCTAAAGATAAATAATAATTTGTAGATTTAAATAAGATAATTTTTCTTAAAAATTGTAATTGTTGCTAATTTACAAATATCGATTTAAAAAAAAGAACAATGAAGGAATTTTGTCTCCAATATTGTAAAAATAATAATGTCTGGAATATTTTCTTATTGAAATACTAAAGAGGTAAAAACCCAAGAAAAATTCTTTTATTCAAAATACCTTCTTGGAAAAATTTTTCTAAAATTGTTAAGCAAAGCCGATACACAGGTATAAGAAATGGAATTTTACATAAAAATCCAGCTGTTATAATTCTTATTGAATATAGTAAAAGTTAACTTGAAATATTTTATTGTCCATTCTAACCCTCAGGTAGGTAAGAAGAGGATTGTTAATACCATAATATAATACACAATCACCGCCTCCTCCCCCTCAATGAAGCAAAATTTAGTTTTCACCCTCATTAGAACAAAAACATCAAAGAAATTGACATCAATTGTTTAATTTTACATATATATATATATATATATATATTTTCAAAAGCAAAATTTATCAGCCGTCCAAGTATTAACATTGGTTATATATATTATTATACTTTTAGACTTTCAAAATTTTCCACACTAAAATTTTATATATTCTTGCAAATTGTATTTACCCATTCATATTTAAATTTACAATTTGCTGAATATAGGAAAAATAATAATAATAAATAGAGGACAATAAATATAATCCCAATATCCTTGACTTTTATAAGCAATTAAAAATAAAAGCCCATTTTATATGTTAGTTGAAATCCATGAATTTTGCAATATTTTTAGAAATTATTAGGCAAAGTAAATAAGAAATTTTGAAATATTCCAAAAAAAGGGATAAAATTATGAAGTACGCAACTATGATAGATTTTAAAAAAACGAATTTTCAAAATGAAAAATTCTATAATTTTTTTGCCTAAAAATTATTTCTTGTAATTTTTTATCATCAAATTATAAAAAAATATTTTTATTCCATAGGACCCCGCACTAAATACACAGAAAATGGCTTACGGTTAAATTTTGCTATATTTTGAGAATTTTTAGTTGAAAAACAAATTGTCAATGAATTAATTTTTTTAATAATAGTTTTTTATAATAGTCACTTTCGAACAAGTGATTTGCCCACTTAGATACGTAAATTCATTAGACGTAGCGTTGTTTCGACATTTTTTTTTTTTTAGCTAAACTATTTATTCAGTGACCTTCGGACAATTTTTTTTTTTTTTTTTTTTTTTTTCAATCAGGACACTTTCAACTAAAAATTCTCAAAAATATATCCAAATTTAACCGTAAGCCATTTTCTGTGTATTTAGTGCGGGGTATTTCTAATCGTTGTGTACTTCAGAATCGTTAAAGCCAACCGTAAGCCATTTTCTGTGTATTTAGTGCGGGGTATTTCTAATCGTTGTGTACTTCAGAATCGTTAAAATATAGATGAAGAAAATTTTAAAAAAATATTTCAGCCAAGAAAAGTTATTTTCAATTTTGTTATTTTTCTCCGTAATAGAAAGAAATTGATAAAAATCAAATTTTGAGAGTTTAGAAAATAAAAAAAATCTTACCTTCTATAGCGGGAAATGGACTACCGGGACTACAATTACTGGGTACCATACTAATTGAATATGGTTTATCCTGTTGTGAGAATTGTTCGTCAGGTTCCATTTTCACCATTCCAGTTGTTTCAGTCAATGTTGCTTCGCATGCATTGAGTGCTTTTTCCAAATGTTGTAATGCCTCGGCATGATCGGAATTTAAATAATTGGGTGTTGTGAGTGGTGTTTGTTGAGGGCCAGTTGGTGTCGACATAGAGAGCTGTGGTGAATCTGCAATACTTGAACCAACATTTGTCGATGTTTCCAAGTAGCTTGTACTATTCGCATCATTCGACGATGTCTCATCACCTTTATACGAACAATCTTCATCCGGTTTTTGTGGTGACATTTCAATTGGTGAAGTTGATGATCCACCAATTTGTGATGTTAATGTTTCATTCAATGCACTGTCTCGTCCCTGACTTGATAACCCTCGAACCTAATTTGAAAAAAAAGAAAATTCAATTAATATTTTTTTTTTCACCCCTTTATTTTTGTATAATTTTCTTTTTTTTTACCTGAAGAGCTTCGGCTGCCTGCATTAATGTATTAATTTGTTGTTTCTCAACGTAAACTTCACCGCGATACATAAATTCAACGAGTGCCTGAAGTTCCCACATACGCATATCCCTCAAAAATATGATTGGATGAGTACATGGGATTTCGAGCAAAAGTCGCTCCAAATAATCGCTACATGCTGAAAGTACAACTTTATGACATTTTATCGAACCACCATCGCAGGCAAGTGTAACGTCAACAAATTGTTCTGAACTCAACAATTTTGGAAATGCATTGTGCATATTTGACTGATACGAGTTCCATGACACACAAAATTGCTGTCTCTCACCACCCGGATAACCTTCCGGTGTTGGTAAACTACTTCCAGAATCCATTTCCTTTTTCTTTTTTTTCTTTTCTTTTTTTTTTTATTGACGACGACCAATCAATACAGAATTACAGAAACGCTGCAAAAAAAGAAAAATAATTTATAATAAAAAAAAAATAGTTGAAATTTTCAAAACTATATTCAAAAATCAGGTGTTTTATTGAAAATTTTTTTTTTTGATAATAATTTTGCAGAATAAGTTGTTTAAATAGTTTATAACAGCGCAGTCACCATCTAGATGATAAGATTAGAGATTTAGTGAATTGATAAGATTATTTGTTGAAACTCATATCAAATTTATTTCACAATATTTAATTCATATCAACAAATTTACTATTATTACAATGTATATTGAAAAGTACTTTTATCATACAGTCACTAAAATTCAAATATTAATTAGAAACTTCATATATTTTTCCATAAAAAAAATAAATTTCATTTCATTATTTTTCTCTGAGTTAATTTAACTATATCTAATAGAATTTCAATGACATTCAAATAAACATTTCGTAAATAAATGAATCATTCATTACTCGAAATTAAATATTTATTTAGATTTAGTCAATAAATTTATAAGAAAATAGAAAACGAATGAATAATAAAATTAAATAATTTATCCCCACGAGGCATTGTAACTCTCACTGTCGTTTGCCTAAAAAGTTTTTAACAATAAGCGTCGCTAATGAAATATCAGAACCCTATACACGAGAGAGAGAGAGAAATAAAAAAAAAAAAACCGTAATAAAAACCGGTTGGAAAAAAAATGTTGCGAACCCACAGGAAATAATATCGAGCGATGCGTGTATGTGTTTTAAAATAATATAAGGCATCGGTAATTTTAGACTAACGAAAGGTTAACGCAAAGAGGTAATTCACAAAAAAACTTTACAACATGGCTGTCACGCTGCAGGGCCTTGATGAAAAATAAAATAACTTGAAATAATATTCAAACACGCCCGAAGCTATTTAACGATCTACATTGAATTTATTTAACTTTAATCATCAACTAGCAAAATAAAGTTAACGGTTCTTTTTTTTTCTAACGGTATACAAATAAGAGATTCAGTGTCGATAGTTAGAAAAATCCATAACAACATCCAAATGAGCGTTCAACAAAACAAATGAGGCAACAAAGGTTTGGGTAGTCTGCGATCCCCGAAAAAAAAAATACAAGCCATTTCAAAAAAAGAAAGAAAAAAAAAAAAAAAGATGTAACTCGGCGTGGATATTTCAACAATCACGTGTTCACAATAACACAATGCGAATAGGTTAGTCAAAAAATGCGAAAATTCATGAAACGATAAGCTTTTTCTGTCATCGGAAAAATGGTGAAATCTTTGTGGGAGACGCTGTCGGCATGAGGGCCATCACCCCCCCAGGAACGCCTTGAGCACAAGTTTCACGTTTATTTCCGAACGCGGGACAATACACACATATTTTCTTCATATGAAATTTAACTTAATTCATAACAACTTAAATGATTTGACTCACAATTGTAGTGTCGTCGTTTGTCCTTAAAAAGATTCACGCGTCGAATTTGGGAAGAATCCCTTAAGAAAACATGCATCCGCCGAGATTTGCACTAGCTAGGGGAGCTCAAGTAAACTGGTGGGGGTAGTAAGGTTGGGGGTAGCTTAATGGAACACTAGCGCACCTTCTGAGCTCACCCTCAACGAAATGCCGAATTCTCATTTAAAAAAAAAAAATTCTAAAATCTTTTATATATTCTTTTTTGACAATTTTTCTTTTACTTACAATTTATTCCTTGATTTCACAAAACACGCGTCTCTCCTTGTTCTGCTTCTAATAATTCTTCTTTTTCAACTTCCTTCAACACTCTCGCACACTTTGCGTTGCTTGTCAAGACGCGCGCATGAACACTGTTTACATACGTACTTTCTTTTTATTCTCTTATTTATTTCTTGCGCGGTTTTATATCTATCTGCAGAAACTGAATTTTTCATCCATTACAAATTATAATGAAATTTAATTTGAGATTTTAAATAAATCAATAATTCACGTTTCCTTCTTCCTGTCCCGCCTTTCTTTGGAATACTTTTAAGAAATGAAAATCATATTTCCAATTTAACTATACACATGTAGATGCCTCGAGACACGTTTTTGTCAAATTTTAATTTGTTTAACAAATAATATATATAAATAAAAAAAATTATGTAAAAAAATATTTTATTCATTACTGGATAATTGATTTTTTTAAATTAATTTATTTATTGTTAAAAATAAAAGATTTATAAATAAATATTTCTGTTAAAATCGAATTAACCATTCAGATTGTTTATTGTACTTAATGGACAACTATAATCGTTTTTGATTGGTGGTTGAAGAGAAATGTGAAACGCCATTGGTTAGTTGATATAATTTTTCTTTCTTACCGACAGATAACATTATTTATTAAGGGCAATTTACATACACTCTAATTGCATATTAACATTTTTTAAACTTTTTAAGTAAATAAATTGTTTTTGAGAATAAATAAATAAATAATATAGTGGGCTAATTAATTTTTGCATTAATTTCAATTTATCAACAGTTGGAAATTCAAATTTTATTCCATCCTTTGAAGATAGTTCTATATAATAAAAATTCTATGACCGAAGCTTTGTGTTGTTGACTTTGTTTTTTTTTTACTGTCAATTTAAAGTTATTAAAGTGAAATAAAGAAAATCCGTTTATAATTAACTAAATTTGATTAAAAATTAAAAAATATTTTGAAACGGAATTATTATATCTTAAATAAAAAATTTTAAAAATGTCTAAAATGCCAGGTTATGATACCCATGATGATGGACCAGGTTTTGTCGGAATAAAATTCTGTCAAGAATGCAATAATATGTTATATCCTAAAGAAGATAAAGAAAATAAAGTTTTGATGTATGCTGTAAGTGAAAATTTATAATATATTAATTATTAATATTTATTTTTAATTTATGTGACAGTTTCAACATATTTATATCACATGCTTTTGTTTATATCACTTTTAATTATTTTATTTTAACTATTCTAATATAAAACAAGTAATAATTGTTTAAAAATTGATTATTATTTTTAACAGTGCAGACATTGTCATTTGAAACAACTTGCCAGCAGCAATTGTATTTATGTCAACAAAATTATGCACGAAATCGAGTGAGTAAATTTTTAAACATCAAATATCGAAATATTTAATTTTGTTCTTATATTCATATTATTATTGCTAATAATTATTAATTTATAAATATTAAATTATTGCTTTTGCAAATTAAAAATTAATTAGAATATTTTTGAATATTTAAAAACAAAATTATGCGAAAAAATAAAAATAATGGGATTAATGAAGTGATTTCAATGTAATATGAATGAATTAATTATTTATTTGTACAAAATTTTGATTAAAAAAAAATAGTATGCCAATATATTTTCACATTTTGTCAAAAAAAAAAAGAAAGAAAGAAACTGGACTAAGATAAGATTATCACAGTTTTGCTTTCTTTATAAAGTAATTTCTTAACTAATTTGTTAATTTATAATTTTTATTTTTATGTTCTATCAAGGAGAAACATTTACAATAAATCTTCATCTGCATTTTTCAGTCACCTGCAATTTAGACTTAAATATTAAAAAAAAAACAAAAACAACAAAAATTTTATATCAAACAAATGAAATTTCAATATTATTAAAATATAACTACACTATCTACTTTTATTACTTACTGATTAATTTTTTTATACAATACAAAATAAAAAATAAACTTACTCATCAAAAATGCGAATCAAATGAATTATTAATTTTTTTTTTCTTCAGCGAATTAACTCACATTGTCGCGGATGTAATATCCGATCCTACATTACCAAGAACTGAGGAACATCCATGTCCAAAATGTAATCATCGAGAGGCAGTTTTTTTCCAAGCACAAACAAGAAGAGCAGAAGAAGAAATGAGACTCTACTATGTTTGTACAAATCAACATTGTACGCATAGATGGACTGAATAAATCAGTCAAATAAAGAAGTAAATTTAATTTTACTAATTTATAAGACACAAATAATTATAATAACATTTGTACATTTTAAATATTAAGAATTATGTAATTTTTTTTTTTCATTAAAATAAAAATAAAAAAGATTTTCTAAAAATTATTATTATTCAATCCTTTAATTTCAAAAAAAGTTTTTCAATATAATATATTGATAATCGTCAATATAATAAAATAATAAAAAAATTTAATTATTGTCAAAAAAAGTATTTTAATACATTAAAAAAAACCTTAAATCATTCTTTTCAGATTTTAATGTAAAATTCAAATATGTTTATTTAAACTAGAATAATTATATGTTATATGTATATGTAATATTTAAATCGGACAAAAAATTTACGCAACAATTCCTATAAATGTCGCGCTTCCCGCCCACGTTTGTATTTCGAATCATGATTGCCCTGAAAAAAATTATACGTCAGAATCTCATAGAACATAACCTTCAAAACAAAACTAGTCCCATTTACAGATTCTCTCTCTCTCTCTTTATACAGAATAGTCATCAAAATTAGTAAGTCTTGACAATTCATCAGTAAAAAAAAAAAGTGGATGAAACAACGAAAATAGGACACTATTAATTTGCGACAAATTAAAAATTATTATACATTAATTGCCGAATAATAATCCATTCGCGTCAATATAGAATGAATCACTTTACAGATTAAACGTGCTTTTATCGATTAATGGGAGCTTCTCACGCTGGAAAACAAACGAGAAACATGAACAGGTAGTAATTTTAATTTATTATTTACAGATAAAAATAATAATATTTAGTTATATTTCAATTGTGAAAGGGATTAACGCTAAACGGAATTTTGTAACTAATTTCTAATTACTTACTGCGAAGAATTATATTTGTAGATAAATAAACAAACTATAGACTTTTCTGGAAGTTTATAATATAATTTTTTTAATTTAAAAATAAGAGGGAATTTATAAAACTTATAAGAAATCAATTTTATCTTTATCTGCTTAACTTTTAAAAAAAGGAAACTTCGATAAATTTAATTTAAAAAAAAAATTCGAATTTTTGTCATTTAGTAAAAATTCACAATCAGACAATAGCACTACTGGTCAGGAAAATGCCAGTAGCAGTGCTAGACCACTTTCAATTGAAGCACCACGTTCACAAAATCAAAATCAATCGAGTGGACAACCATTACCTGTTCAACCTCGACAACCATCAAATTTACCAGGACTTCTTCGATTTGCAATGGAAGCAACAAGAGCTGAAGATGCTCCTCATGAATCATATGTACAACCTTTGGATGAGGAGGTAAATATTTAAAAAAAAAAAAAAACAAATTTCCTTCCTTTTCATATTAAACTAAAAATTAAAAAATATTTACAGCGGAAAAAATTTTTAAGTGAAGCTCTTGCCTCAATGACAGTCAATGTAATTGAAGAATTACATAAATGTGTGAAAACTCTACAAAATGTCATTGATCTTCGACCTGATGACGATCCATCGGAATATGAGGCGGCAATTGAGACAATGTCCGATTTTTGTGACAATGCCGATATTGCCAATGATTTTTACAAAATTGGAGGATTTTCCATATTTGGTCCATGTTTAAATTCACCGCACAGTGGAATTCGATGGCGTATTGCAAATTTAATTGCCGAATTAACGCAAAATAATCCATTTTGTCAGGAAAAAGTTTTGGAAGCTGGTTATATGCCAATTTTACTCAATATGGTTGATTCTGATCCACATCATCAGGCGAGAATTAAGGCACTTTATGCCGTTTCTTGTAAGTAATGAATTAAAAAAAATAATTTCTCATTTATAATGAGAAAAAATAAATTCAATAATAAATTTTGGTTTTTTCAGGTATAGTGAGAGGACATGCACTCGCTTTAAAGCATATGGAAGTAAACGATGGTTATTCCGTTTTATTAAGATCAATACAGAGTCCAGTGGAAAAATTACAAATAAAATCCGCTTTTTTGTTATCGTCACTATGCAATCGTGATAATTTAAATGAATTAAAATTAACACTCATTAAAATGGGACTCATTGAACAAGTCGCTGGTCTTCTTACAATGGGAAATCTTCTACCGGAAACAAAGTAATTTTTACATTGAGTTTTTTTTTATGCTAATAAAATTCTAATTTTTGAATTTCTTTTTTTTCCAGGGAACAACTTTTAAGTGTATTGAGTGGACTTTCAAGTAATGGCTATTTTCCCGCATTAAAAGAATGTCGTCGACCTGAACTTTGTTTGAAACAAACACTCGAGAGGCACTTACAAGAATCAAAATTAGAAGAGAGTTTAGAACGTGAAGATATTTGTAAAGATCTTCTTGATAAAATATTTTCTGATCAAAAATCACAAGATCAGGAAAGATAATTCATTTAGTAATAGTATTTTCTCTACATTCGATGGCACGATTTTAAACTAAAAACATTTTTTGAAATCGTAAAAACGAAATAAAAAATCGCATTCATTTTCATGCAAATGTACAAAAAAAAAAGGAAAAATATTTTATTTAAAAGCCAATTAAAAACTACGATTAGCATGCATCGTGTATTTTCTTAATTATAATATAATAAATAACTGATAAAAATCATGTAATTTAAATATTAAACTAAATCTTATTGCAAAATAATAAATATACAATTAAATGAAAAGACCATTCTTTATTTTCTTTTCTATTTTTATCTTAAATTTTCAGGTTTGGAACATTTAATTCAATTTAGTAATTAAAAATGCAATTCGGGAAATAATTTAAATATTAAACTAAATCTTATTGCAAAATAAAGTAGAATTAAATGAAAAGACCATTCTTTGTTTTCTTTTCTATTTTTATCTTAAATGTTAAGGTTTGGAACATTTAATTAAATTTAGTGTTTAAAAATGCAATTCGGGAAATAATTTAAATATTAAATATTAAACTAAATCTTATTGCAAAATAAAGTATACAATTAAATGAAAAGACCATTCTTTGTTTTCTTTTCTATTTTTATCTTAAATTTTCAGGTTTGGAACATTTAATTCAATTTAGTGATTAAAAATGTAATTCGGGATATTTTCTATATAAAAAAGTATGTATCCCAAAAAGTTAAGTAGGTCATACCTATGTCGCGAAAACAAAAATAGTAATTTTAAAATCATGCAAACGAAAAATCTAATAGTAAATATTAATTTCTATTATTAATTTAATAATAAATCTTCTACAACATTCAAAGAATATCAATAAAAAAAAAAAATGCAGTCACTCCCCACAAATCGATAAATAAAAAATTGAATAAATTTTCCCAGTTGTATAAATTATAAAAATTAAAAAAAAAAACGCAATGACAAATTTTTTTTTATAAAAAATATTTTTCTCCATAATTTGAACAATTTTTTTTTTTTTTTTTTATTTAAAAAATAAATAACTGCATATAATTGCAATAGAACACATGCACAAAAGAATTTACCATGCACTTTCAATTATTACATTTTATATATTATATTAATATAAGGAAAAAAAAAAAAGTTTAAAATTGAACTTTGAAACCTGTAACTTATTCAGACTTCTTCCTTCCATTTCCCCACCGTTTTTTCTACAGATGATAGAATATTCCATATTTATCTCTAAATGTATTGTTACTCTTCTGACATATAAGTATTGAACTGGTGCGGTGTGTTGTGTTTGTAATAAAAAAAAACGAATCAGCTGATTTTTAAAAATGTCCGACGAGAAAAAGACAGATAAGAATAATGCAGATTCTCCCGATGATCCAGAATTAGATGATCTTCTTGATAGTGAGTAAAAATAATTTAAATATAAACATTTTCTATTTATTGTTTTTTTTATTATTTTATATTAAACTTACCGGAACATAACCTCAAAATTTGTGGATTCCAAAAATGAAAGACATAGTCATTGTCGTTTTTTTTTCCGCATAATATGGAATCATGACTGTTTTTTTTTAATTGTTTAATAGAATGTGAAACAATAAAAGATTGTTAAATTGGAAATAAATTCTTTTGAATGTAAATTTAATAAGGGATTATATAACAGAACATTTTTGTCAGTAGTGACTTAATTTTTTTGTAATTTAAATATCTATTTTCAGTATTTCGATTTAAATATATCATGTATTTATTTTTTAATTTTGTATAATAAAGGTATAATTAAATTTAATTTTTAAATTTATAGGTGCATTAGAGGATTTTAATAAAAAGGAAGTAAAAAAAGATGAATCATCAGCTGAAGCAGCATTACCGCAAGGTGGTGAAGAAGCTGTAGATGAGGAATCCTGGTCACAAGATTTTATCAAACAAGCAGCCGATCAATTCGAAAAAAATCTTCAAAATCTAATTCAAAATGGTAACAAATCACAAAAAAAAAATTAATATTTTATCTATTTTACAAATTTTGTCAATAATTAAAAAGGAGGCGATGGTGATTTTGGAGCATCAATTCAAAGGATGGCACAAAGTGTTCAAAGTGCAATGACAACCGAGGGAAATGATCCCGAAGGTGTTTCTGCTGATTTTCAATCGGCAATTTCACAAGCGCTACGAGATTTATCAGTGACTGCAGAAAATATGCAGGTAAACAAAAAATTACACAAAAATTTGAATTTTCCAAACAAAAACAAATCAATTTTCTAACAGAATTCTTGAATTATTTTGCAATTTGAAAATTAAATATAATTTGCAATTTTTAGAATTCAGGAGGCGATTTTGGTGAATCCGAATTGGCAGCAATGTTAGAGCAATCAAATTTAGAAGAAGCGCCCGGAGAATTTTTACCATTTATGCAAGGAATGATGCAGTCATTATTATCAAAAGAAGTTCTATATCCATCATTAAAAGATTTAGTTGAAAAATATCCACAATGGTTAGAGGAAAAAAAAGACACATTATCGTCAGAGGATTTTACACGTTATTCAAAACAATTGGAACTCATGGAAAAGGTAAAAGGAAATTTTTCCTTAGCGCTTTTTAAAGTTTTTTTTAAAAATATTTTTTATAATTGTAATAAAAATAATAATTATTTGAATTTTCAAAAAAGGTTTGTGCGGAACTTGAAACTGAAAAAGAGGACGACACTGATGAAATAAAAAAACGTAGATTTGATAAAACATTAATATTAATGCAAGAAATGCAAACATGTGGCCATCCACCTGAAGATTTAATTGGCGAGCAACCTTCACTATTCCAATCGGACGCATCGGGAAATCCAATTGTTCCTTCATTTCCACCGATTGGTGATCCACAAAATTGTTCTGTTATGTGAAATCAAATTTCAATTAAATAATATTTAAAAAAAAAATTTCTCAATTTTTTCTGAGAAAATAAAGTGCAATCATTCACCTTCGAATCATCGTTTGAAAAACAAAAAAAAAAAAAGGATTCGACACTGTAAAATTATTTATATCAAGATTTCCCCTGAATATTGAACTATTTGTACAGCGTAAACGTAACAAAATCGAAGGTAACGCTATTTTAATTGTGTAGAAAATGGATTAGTAAATTATTTGTACTCACCATTAAAATGAAAAAAAAAAAAAAATTTTCCAACTTTTAACTTGAATTTTATTTCAGTCTAATTCTTATTCTTTGGAATGATAAACATTCAAAACACAAAACTTACAACGAGAGTAAACGGTTTCTTAAATATTTTACAATTATGCGATCTAGTTTTTTTTTTTTTTTTTTTTTTTTTAAGATGATGAAAGTGCTGCAACACCGGGTAGAACTTTGCCTTCGAGAAGTTCCAAACTTGCACCGCCACCAGTACTCACGTGACTGACTTTGTCCTCGGTTTTCCATTTTGCAGCACATGTTGCTGTATCGCCACCGCCAATAATTGTTACTGCACCTTTACTCGTTGCTGTTACAACATTGTCCATCAGGGATTTTGTTCCCTTGTTAAAGTTTTCAAATTCAAATACACCGGCTGGTCCATTCCAGACAATTACTTTTGCCCTTAAAATTGGCTCTAAAAATAAAATCATTAGAGTTAAATAATTATTTAATAGTTATTTAACAATTCCAGGCCTCAGATTATACGACTTTTTTTCAAAAAAAAAAATTTTTTAATTGAAATTTTTTCCTAATTTAATTTTTTTTAAATTTTAATGAAATTCTTCACAAGTTCAATTATCTTAAATTATTATACTTGAATATTAGTAAATAAATAATTACTTGAACAAATTAATTTCAATTGAATTAAATAAACTGCATTTGAACCAATAATTTCTGTATTTAAAAAAAATATTATTTAACTCAAAAAAAAATTTCGTTGGTTCAAGTAAATATTTATTTGATAATAGTCAAATAACCGATTATTTGAATCAAATAAATTTTTTTTTTCAGTATGAAATTCAACAATTTTTTAGAATTTAAAAAAAATCAAATAAAATTAACAAAAATTTCAATTTAAAACCTTTTAAAATTGTCCATCTAAAACTTTTTGAAATTTAATAATTTCACCTACAACTCTTCCGAAATATAATTATTTTTAATGATTTTTATAATATTCTGCGAAAATTCAAATAATTAAAAGCATTTATCAATTTAAAAATTTTTCAGTTCAATTTTTGTCTTTAATTTTTAATAAATTTTTCATCAACAGAAATCACCAAAAAAATTCCAATTCAGAATCACTTGAATTTAATTATTTTCCAAAAGTTTCAATTTAAAACCTTCTAAAATTTAATTATTTCTATAATTTTCCAATTAAAACTTTTTGAAATTTAATAATTTCACCTACAACTCTTCCGAAATATAATTATTTTTAATGATTTTTATAATATTCTTTGAAAATTCAATTGTATGAAAGCATTTTTTAATTAAAAAATCTTTAAATTCAATTTTTGTCTGCAATTTTTAATACATTTTTCATTAACAGAAATTAACAAAAATTTTAATTAAAAATCACTTGAAGTTCAATTAATTTCAAAAACTTTAATTTTAAATCTTCTAAAATTTAATGATTTGAAATGATTTTTTATAATATTCTTCCAAAATTCAATTATTTCAAACCAATTTTTCAAGTAAAAACATTTGAAATTCAATTTTTCTCTGAAATTTCAATTAAAAATCACTTAAAGTTCAATTAATTTCAAAAATCTGAATTGCAAATATTTGAAAATTCAATTACTTTTAAAAAATATTAGGTATCTAAAATTACAATTTGATAAATTATTTTCAATTCTGTAAAATTTCATTATTATCATAAATTTTAAAAAAATCTTTTCAAATTTAATTATTTCTAAAAAACGACTCTTCCAAAGTTCAATAATTTTTAATAATTATAATATTTCTTTAAAAATTTAACTATTTACAAGTATTTCAAATATAAACTAAAATTGAATATTGTTTTCAGAATTTTGTTTTAAAAATTTGTCCTACTTAATTGAAATAGAAGAATTAATAAAATAGATTTAATATCTAATAACAAAAGTTATTTAAAGTAAAATACTTATTAACAAATTAAATTTAATTAAAATAAAAAAATCAACTTTTTTTGGAATGTATATTGACTAAAACAACTGTTTTTGCGCCTTTAAAGTTAATCCAAGGCCTGTAATTTCAATTCTTTTTTTGAAAATTCAAATATAGAAAATTCAGTTCAAGAAAAAAAAACAATTACCAGCGAAAATTTCCCTCGATTTTGGTCCAACGTCAAGACCCATCCATCCATCGGGAATTCCAGTTGCAACATCAGCAGCGCCAACGGCAGCATCTTCGGCGAATTTATCAGCGGTTACAAAATCAACTGGTAAATGAATTTTCACACCATTTTTCTCTGCTTTTGCAAGAAGATCGTTAACAATTTTTGCACCTTCTTCATCAAATAAGGAATTTCCAATCTGTAAATTATTTTTATCTTTATATTTTCATTTTCTTTTTTTTTTTTTTTAAATATAAAATTCCAAACTCACTTTCATGTCTTTGGTGACTTTTAAAAATGTATACGCCATACCACCGCCAATTATCATTTCATTGACTTTATCCAATAAATTATTGATCAATTGAATTTTATCAGCGACTTTAGCACCGCCAAGAATAGCCAAAAATGGTTTCTCAGGATTATCGAGGGCTTTGGCGAAATATTGTAATTCTTTTTTCAAAAGAAAACCACTTGCTCTTATGTCAAAACCATCGCCCATCATTGAACTATGAGCACGATGTGCCGTACCAAAAGCGTCGTTTATATAAACGTCACCTAATTTTCTCAATGATGCACGAAATTCAGTAACTTTGTCCTTGTCGGCTTTAATCTAAAAAAATAAATTCCAAAATCTGATTTTTTACCCGAAATATTAAATAAATTTGCAAATTTTGATTTTTTAAGTACCTTGCTACCATCGGGTCCAACGCCTTTACCCTCTTCCTCAACATGAAATCTCAAATTTTCCAATAAAATAATACTTCCTGGTGCTGGATCAGCGCAAGCGGCTTCAACCGTAGCACCAACACAATCATCCAAAAATAAAATATCCTTTCCAAGAAGAGTTTTTAATTCATCGGCAACTGGTTTCATTGTGTATTTTAAATTTTTATTACCATCAGGACGACCCAAATGGGACATTAAAACAATTGATTTTGCATTCTTTTCTAAAGCATATTTCACCGTATCTAATGCGGCGACAATCCTTTGATTATTCGTTATTTTACCATCTTTTAACGGAACATTGAAATCCACTCTTGAAATATTAAAATTTAATAATTAAATTAATTAATAGTAGTAATTAATTAACAGAAAATGATTATCAAATATTGGAAAAAAATTTAACCTAAAAAAAGTGATTATCACGAAATTTGAAAAGAAATTTATACTTTTAACCATAAGTAAATTATTAAATATTTTTACAAAATTTTGAAATATTTATGTAACTAAAACAATATACTATCTATTGATTATAAATATATACTTACCGAATAAGAACCCTTTTGCCGGTGAGATCAACTTTATCAATACTCAATTTATTGAGAGCCATTTTTGTCGAATTTAATTGTCTATTATTATTCTTAACACTTACAAAAATTCTTGATAATAGATTGTAATGAATAAATGGAAAATTAGAGGAATTTTTTAAATTACAATTCAACTGACAAGGAATAATTAAATTTCTCCGTGTGTGACACAAAATGACAAGGTCAAATAAAGGTCGTCTAAAGTGTCGACCTCTATAAAATTTTAATAGAGCGCACATTTTGAATTTTAAGAATTTATTTTTATTTTTACGATTTCTTTTAACACTATTATTATGTAAAATCAGATAAAATATGAAAAAAAAATTACAATAACGAATATATTAACTGATTTATTAACAAATAAAGTGTAAACTGGATTATTATTGCTCAACGAGAAAAAAAAATAAAATTAATAACTCTGTGAAGTTGGCAGAAAGATTTCGATTCGAGTCCCAAATCGATAATTCAAGAAACGATTGTTTAAATTTCAAATTTAAATTAGAAAATTTGTTCACTAACTAAACGAATTACTGGAAGTTTTCAATATTTTCAAAATAATCTTTTCATGTTTCAAAATTCATATCGTTAAATATAAGAATTAAAAAATTTAAAAAAAGTTAATTGACGTTATTTTTATATAAAGGTAAATTACAAATTCAAATTTAAAACATTTTTTCAGGATAATGGATTTACAGTTTGAAAAATAAGTGAAAATTCGAAAAAGACATTTTTAAAGATTTTTTTAATAAAATGTTTTGTAAACTCCCAACAACGGAAGCGAATAATATATATATATATATATATATATATATATATATATATATATATATTTAAAAATCTATATTTGAAAATTTTTCTTCTATCCAAAGGTTCCTCGAATTGTATAAATTATTTATAATTTATAATTCGTGAACAATATTTAAATATAACATACAACTCATAGTTTATATTTTTTAATTTTTTTAATTGGTAATTAATTTTTTATTTCTGTCGAAATGAAACAAAAGAGATAAAAAGGGAATTTTTGGTAAATTTTAAATTGATCCAAATTATGATTTAGATCCCTTTTTACTTTACATTATAAAATAATGAAAATTATATAAAATAAATAAAAATTAATTGAATTGAAAATAAAATTTTAAATTCAAATTACTCAAATTTCAATTAAATTTCAGTTCAATTTAATTTTTAATTTATTATAATTAAATTAATTTTCAATTGAAATGTCTTAATATTAAATTTATTTTAAATTCAATTTAATTAATTTAATCTTTAATTCAATTTAATTTGAAAATAGAATCAAAAGAAAATCTAATTTAAATAAATTACTAATAAAAATTTTCTCAGCTTTTTGAAAATTATCTTGTTGTATGACGTGCCCAAGTTGTTCTTTTCACCTGTCCCATTAAATCATTTCTTGGCGGTAATCTTGCACTCGTTGTCCTCGATGGTGGTGGTCCAGGTGTTCTCAATACACTCGCCAATTTTTTTTCCCTCATCTCTTTTGTTTTTTGCATTTCATTTTCCTCACGAATTGTCATATTACTTTTTGAACACGATGTTTGTTGTTGTTGTTGTAATAAATTTTCATTTCTTCTTCCTTGAGGCGGTGGATTTAATACAATTGGCGGTATTTCATCATAAACATTTTTCACTTTTTTCACATCGCCAATTTTTCGATTATTATTATCCATTGCGGTTAATAATGTTTTACTTGAATTATTATCCAATATATTTTCACCACCAGGTATCATATAATTTTCCATTTTTTGCGACATCACTGGTGATGAGGTGAAACTATTTGTTTGCGATACTCTCAATGGCGAAAACTGTGAGGAGTGTGTCAACTACTTTTATTAAATATGATAAGACGTTATTTCAATTTTTTTTTTTTGATAAATCATCGACTGAGTTTTATTTCGTTTTTTTTTTCAATGTGGAAAAGTGATTGAAAATAATAATTAGGAATTCAGGATCACTTTAAGGCGCAAAAAAATACAAATATTAATTAAAAATAAAATATAAAAAATAATTAATAATAGTAAAATAGTAAATAATCATTTTTTTAATGTTCGGATGAAAGAACGATTATTGAAAAATTGAAATTAGAAAATAAGAAAGAAAACGGATAAAAATTCAGAAAAGATAAATAATAATATGAATTTAATTTTGCGAATGTGAAGAAGAAAACAAAATAAAACTCAGCCTGTGTTTGAGAACTTACCGAATGCCTGGTATTTGGTGGAATCAACAAACTTGCTCCCATTGCAAAAGGAGACGGCGTGGTGTAAGGAGACCTTTGAAGTTGATAGGGACTGATATTGTGAAGTCTTTCGAGAAGTTGAGTTTGAAAATCCTGAAGACCCATATTCGAATTTCCAGGATAAAGAGCTTCAGTTTGAAGTGGTTGAAAAGAATACGGAAATGCCGGCGGTTCCAATTCCCATGGCGAATTTTGACGCTAAGAAAACATTTTTTTTTTCGTTTGCTCAAATCCCAATCCTTTTTGTTTTGCAATACACACTCTTTTTTTTTTAGCAGCTTTTGCATCCGTTCGCAGGATTCGTCAGGATTGCTCTCAATGACACGAGAAATTTAAAAAAGAAAATTTCCCTGTTTTTTTAAGGCGCAAAACACATAATAAAATTTCTACTTTTTGCAATTATCATTTTTTTCCAAACTAAAAAAAAAGTAGAAATTCAAGAAAGCCATTTTTATTAGTCAACATTGATCGCAAACAAAAATATAGATTTTTTGCAATTTTTATTATTTTATTAAAAAAAGAAAGAAAACAAAACAGTATAAAAAAGTTTTTAAAAAAAGACGATACAAAATGGTTACACTGGTATCAAAAATGTACAAAAAAAAGGAATGCATTATTATTACAATAACGTTACTTAATCGATAGTTTTTTTTTTTTTTTAATTAATTATTAATAATTCTGCAATGCATAAAGCAAATAGGCGAAACGTTCCTTTCAAGGTATGCGGTAGAGTGTTACCTGACCGAGACCGGGTAAATCGGGAATTGTCGGTGTTTGCGATGGTACATTCGCTGAACCTGGCACTTGTGATTGTCCCGATATATGTCCAATTGAAAGACGTTCTTGTTCCCTAAGATGACCAACTAATGCACCAATATGTTCCAACAATTCCTTGTTTTGAACAAGCAATTGTGTCTATAATAAAGAGAAAAATGAAAAAATTAAATAAAACGATCATTGAACTTGAGGAAATTGACTCTATGTAATTAATAATTAATTTAATAATGATAATTAGAGGGAATTTTTAATGTTAATTAAATTACTTGAGCTTCAATGCGAGCGGCAGTTTCTGCAGCCAATTGTTCTTGCAAAAGTCGCGCGTGCGCTACCGCAGCGCGAGTTTGCTGATTTTGTTGATCTAATCTTTCGCGAAGCAATTGAATTTCGTGCTTCAACGCTGTGAGTTCACCGCCTGCCAGCAATCCACCGCATTCGGATGCCACTGTTCCCTGATAAAAGAACTTTATTTCACTTTTAGTGGCCCTTAAAACGTTCCTTAAACGTTTAAACGTTTATAAACGTTTCTTTTTTGTAAAAAAAATTCAATTTTGCAATTTTAGTTATTTCAATTATTAAATTTATTATTACTTTAATTAAATATTGGCCTTTAAAAAGTTATATTCAATTTTTTTTCACAAAAGAATTCTGTTTTCCAATTTTAGTTATTTAAATTATTAAATTTATTATTAATTTGATTAAATATTCTATTGAAATATTTATTAAAATGTTATTAACTATATTTATTATTAAATATGTATTTTTAAATATTGTATTAATCAAAAATTCGAAATCATTAAAATTTTAATTTAACATTACAATATTAAAAATCAAAAAAATTAAATGAAATATTTCGTTTTTTTTTTTTAACGAAGAATCTATTTTAGTTATTATTATTTTTATTATTATTATTAAATTCAGATCTACCGATGGTGATTGACCGACAGGGGAAGCAGAAGCTGTTGTGATTGGAACCTCATGAGATCTCAGGAGACAAGACATTTGATTCTGATCCGGTATAACATCTTCGCTATCACCTAAAAGTGACATATCTGAAAAATAAATATTATAATAAATATATATTATAATAAATATTAAATTATAAAATAATTATTGTTTTTTAAAAAGGATACAATTATTATTAAATTAAATCATTAAATAATTATTATTACTGTTATTAAAACGAAAATAAGAAACTTTTTGGAAAAGGAAACAAAAAAAAATATATCAACCTTTATGTAGTGAAGTTGGAGAAGGTTGGGGTTGATCGCTTCCAATTTCTTCTCGATCATCGTAATCATCATCGCCACCACGATGAATATTTTCTAAATCTCTACTACTTCTGTCATTTTCACCTCCTCTCTCCTTATCATCGGCAGCTCCGCTAATGCTTAATTTATGGCATACTTCAAAAGCTTGACCCACCGTTCTTACCACTCTCATTGCTTGACTCTGAAAAAGGATAATTTCTTTCAAAAATTTTTTTTATATTTTTGCCACTCCATTTTCCTTTGAATCGATTTGTAAATCAAAACTCCAATGAATCATTGAGAAGAAAAGAAATCCCTTTTCTGATAAATTATAAAAAAAAAATGCGAATATAAAATGATGGAAAAAATATTCTAAAATTTCCACATTTTCTAGCGAGATAATAAAAATTAACACAAAACCTGAGAAGCAAATTTTAATTTTCCAAATATTCTGTCGTCTGATTTAAAAAATTACTACCGCTAGTAGTAGCACAAATTATTAAAAGAATTTTCATTTCTTTTTTCTCTGATCTATATTTAAAATATGTTTAATAAATACTAAATATTTTAATAAGTAAATTACACTTTTTTGTCTATTTTAGATTGCAAAAATAATAGCTCATAAAAAACTAATAAAAGAAAATATTAAAATATTGTTTTATCACTTGTCTATTACCAAAAATGCCAATAAATTTTCAATTATTGAAACAAAAACATTAATTTAGAAAAAAGGAAAATTAAATAAAAAAAAAACCAAAGTAAAAAAATTTGCAAAAAAATATTAAAATAAATTATTATAATTTAAATAATTATGTAAATTATTAATAAAATTACATAATGAATAGAAAAGAAAAATTTTTCAAAAAATACCAAAATAATTTTGTCAAATGGAAAAAAATTGATGGAAAATAAATTAAAAATCGAAAATATTAAAACAATACTAAAATGATTAAAATTATAAATATTTTAATCAACAATTGTTGTAATCAAATATAGATCAGAGAGAATAAAAGTGAATTTCACCTCAAGTTCGGCTTTAAATGTCTCATCATCTTCATCAAATAGATTATCGGTCAAATTTCCCTCCGAAATTGAAGGCACATGTTCAATTAATGGCTGTGGTGGTTTATTTTTTGTAAATGGTTTTTTTAATTTTAAATAGCCAAAAAATTCTGGCTCTTTAAATGATAATTTCTTCCTTGGTCGCGTGGGACCATCAACATCAACTGGACTTCCGGGACTTGAATTTCCACTTCCAGAAACATCAGCCAAAATACTGGCCTGTCTTGCTAATCCACCTCGTAACATTTTTTTGTTTAAAAAAAAAGAAAATTAAACTTGAAACATTTTTTTAATAATCGCACATTTTTCTAAATTTTTCCCAAACGACAAGGTCAGAAGAGTGCGCAGTTTGTCATGAGAGAGAATAAATACATATAAATATTTATATTTGATTTGTCTCACCAGGTGCACTTTTGTGTGACAGTTGAAGATTTCCCGCTCTACATCATCATCATTTGTCAAAAAAAAAAAAAAAAATATATGTCAATTCTGTCGGTGGCAAATAAACAATTTAATGTTTTTTGAACTCGGTTTGAAATGTTTCAATTTTGACAAATTGATTTTCAAATAAATAATTTTTGTCAATAATCAATTTTTGATCTTTGACGTTTCTTCATCTAAGTTCAATAATTCTGTCGTCTTCGAGACTTTAACGATTTCGTTTTCTGAACTCTTTAAATTATACTCAGGAGAATTAGAAAATTACGAAAATTCCTTTTTTTTATTTCCTTTTCTAATCCTCTGTATTTGTTTCTGATTTTTTTCTTCTAAAATAAAATTTTTAATTCTCTGGAAATAAAAGAAACTTTTTTTTTTTTGTTCTTTCATGAATTTTCTTTCGCCAAAAGAAAATTTCTTTGTGAGTTAAAAGTTTTCCTTGATTTCGTTCCTTAACGATTTTGCTTTTTGTACTCTTTACGTTAAAAATTCTTCTCTAAAAAATTCTTTTTTCAAATATAGAATTTTTTTCTCGAAATTATAAAAATTTCGTTTTCTAATCCTTTGTATGTTTCTTCGATTTTTTTTTCAATTCTCTCTGGAAATAAAAAAAATTTCTTTTTCTTCTTTTATGAATTTTTTTTTCCGAAAAAGGAAAATTTTTTCAGTTTCCTCGCGAGTTTATTAATTTTTCTTATTTTCGTTTCCTTTAGCGAAAAATTGGATTTTTTATAATAATGCACCTGGAGATATATTTCCTCACAAATTTATTTTCAGGGATTCACAAGTAGAGCTCAATGGCATATTTTTCTGTACTTTTTTTTTTTTTTTTTTTTTTTTCTTTTTTTGAGGACGATTTCACGCCGCGTGTGGTGAAGAAGCGGATTGCTGACTGGCTGGTCGATTGGTCGAGTTAGTCGGTTTAGGTGAATTGGGTGGGTGGATAAGTTGTTGGCTTCTCAAACTCTTGTAGTACGTCTGTCTTTTCCTTCATCTTGCAAAACACTCTTGCCAATTTCGCGCGCGTCTATTGTAGACGTCGCAAATCGAGTTCTCTCGGTCACGAGTTACCAATAATCGATTCTTTCAAAGAAAAGAAAAAAAAAATGCACCTAAAAATCCATTTACTGAAACAAAAATTTTCCACTCTTATGATAATTATTTCCCACTGGACTTTTAATTTATCCCTAATATAACAATAATTGGAACAGACGCGCAAGATTAATCCAATGTATTCTATTTTCTATTTTCCAATTTCTCAAATTTCTATTCTAAAAAAGAAAGAATGCACTTTTTTTTAGATTTGATTTTAGACGGTCTAAATAAAAATTTATTTATAACGTTGCGATATTTCGAGATTAGTTTGCTCACGAGACTTCGAGGGATTATTAGAGAGAAAAATGAATTCGACTTTAATTTGTCAAGAAAAACAAATTGGTAATGATAATTTGGATAATTTCCTAAAATTTACATAAAATACGTGAATTTATATATCTATTATTTATTGTGGATTATTTTATACTCGCACTTTGATAAATAACAAAAAGTTTTTTGAACGTTATAAATAGAATTCCAAGTAGAGAGTGATACGTATATAAATATAATTGGTAACACACATTGTCAGTATTTTGTATAACTTGCGTCCAATATGTTGAAAATCTTCACATCAGAATTTTTGCCAGAACAAAATATTTCAAAGGTCAAATGGAATCAAGAGACAACAAAGAAGAAGAAGAAGAAGAAGAAGAAATTTTTTTTCTATCCAGAAAGGTGTTATTAGTTATAAACGTTATAATCGCACAAAAGAAATATGAAAAAACTATTATTTGCACCGCTCCATTTCTCTTTATGGGAAAAATTGTTTTTCTATACAAAAATTGTATTTACAGAATACAAATACAGCATCATTTTGTTTTTAACGATTATTTTCAGAAAAAATAAAACTGAAATATTACAATAAAAGGTAAAAAAAAAAATTTGTTGAGACAAAAGAGTGCAATGATATTATTTTCGGCAAAGTTATAATTGTTTAAAAAAGGTCGAGTGTCATTGTTCGCGTGGAAAATAAAAAAAAAAAAACCATTCCAAGAATGAAGAACAATAAAAAATGCAGGTAATGGAAATGCGGCCAAAACGTCATCTTTTACTCCTTCTCTATATTTTTCTCTCATTTTTTGCACCCACGTGTCATGGGTGCGCGCGCGTATTAAAATATTTATTTTTGGAAGCACACAATAACGTCAGTTGATAAAACGCCAGACGACGGCGTGCACCGCGAAATTATTATGAATATATATATATATATATATATACACAAGTCATTTAGCCGATCGCATAAGATTGTAAGTTTACAACGCGCGAAACTCCCCGCTGTTATGGTTCTATATACAAAAATAGAATGAGAAACAATTCAAGCGGAACTAAAATCTTTAAATCCGGGAAGACCAGAAGAGAACAGTAAAGAAGAAAAAAAAAAGAAATAAATATATGTCAAAGAGAGGAGATTTAATTCTTTTTTTTTTTTTTTTTAATTGCAGTTCTCAAGATCAGGAACAAAAAAGGAATCAAAATCTCACAAAGGAAATCCTTGATGATGACAAAGACTGAAAATATAGAATATAAATTGTTCGACATTTGAAAAGTTAATTATTGGATATTAAATATTTTATTGTTGTTGGAAAAAAGAAGGATTCGCTTACCTTTTTACTAGATTTGAAGACATTACATTTAAAGGAATTACCGCTGCCGTCACGGGCAATGTAGCTAAATATTTTTAAGTCTTGGCTATCATGGGAGACGTAGAATATCCTGGAAATAAAAAAAAATTGCTTATTAGTCACTAAATAATTAAATTAAAAACAAAATTTCTATTATTTTATATTAAAAACAATTATTAAATTAAAATTTCTAATTAATGGAATTTAATGAAATTTATTTTTTTAAGTTGAAAATCTACTGTAATTGATTTTTTATAATTACTTAATTAATTAAAGTTTCTTAAAAAAAAAAAATGGAATTCAGAAAATAAAATAAGAAGAATCGATTTCTAATAAATGTTTATTAAAAACAATTTGAATTTTCGAAATTAAATTTTTTTTTATATATAAAGTTGAAAGTCTACTGTAATTGGTCTTTTTTTAATAATTATGTTTTATTAATCAATTAATTAAATATTAAGTTTCTTAAACAAAATTTAAAGAATTTAGAAAACAAAGTAGGAAAAATTGTTATGAGAATTTGTTTTTAATTTAAAAGAAATTGAAAGAATGTTCTATTAACAAATATTTTCTAAAAAAAAAGAAAATCCTTTTCTAATAAGAACCCACTTCTAAAAAATTTTTCAATTTCTAAAATAAAATAAACTTTGAAAAATCTGTGGAATTTTAATAATTTAACAGAAAATATTTTAAACAAGGAACACGAAATAAAAATTCTAGTGAAAAAAAACCTTTTTCTAAAAAAATTCCTTTCTTAAATAAGATTTTTTAAAAATGTTTATATTTCTAAAAAAAAAAATTTTGAAAAATGTGCAGAAATTTTTAGAAATCAAGAAAAGAAATTTAAAGGAGTAAAAAAAAATGCTATTATCTTTCAAGAAAAATAATAGAAAAGAATTTCATTATTTAATTTGTATATTGATTCTTTTATTAAAATATTAATTAAATTAACGGAAGATATTTATTATTTTAAACAAATGAAAGTAATTGATTTTTTTCTAATAATTGGTTTTTCTTATTAATTAATTAAATATTTAAAGTTTCTTAAAAAAAAAATTCGAGGAATTTAGAAAACAAAATAAAAAAAATTATTCTGAAAAATTTGTTTTTTCAAAGAATGATATTAATTGTATATTTAATTATTAATAATTTTATAACAATAAATTTTCCAAATAAAATTGAAAGTATTTCTTTTTCAATAAGAATCATTCTTCAAAAAGAATGTTTATTAATAAAATATAAATAAAATTTTGAAAAATTTGCAAAATTTAAATAATTCAACAAAAAAATGTTAAACAAGAAAGCAAAAAAATTCTAGTAAATATTCTTTACTAACGAAATTCTTTTTCTAAAAAAAAATTTGAAAAATCTGCAAAATTTTAATAAATCTACGAAAAGTATTTAGATGAGTTAAAAAAAAAGTTCTATTATCTTTTAAGAAAAATAATATGAAAAAATTTAATTTCTATTCATCCTTTGATTAAAATATTGATTAAATCAACAAAAAATATTTAAACAAGGAGTAAAAAAATTTTCTATTATAACTTCCAAGAAAAATAATAAAAAAAGAATTCTATTATTTGCTTTATATTGATTCTTTGATTAAAATATTTTGTTTTCTTTTTATCAAAAAAATCTTTCTAATACTATTAAAAAAAAAAAAAAAATCTAAATAAGAATTTTTACCTGTAGATTGGATGATGCATCAGGTACATCTTGTTCTCGTCCATCCAGTGTTGTTTTTTCTGTGCAGGAAATAAGGATCGCATTAAAGTTGGTTCCAATCCAATCGAAAACAAACGATCAATCAATGGTGCTTCCTCAGCGGACGAATTCGCAAGAATTACCTTTTTCTTATTACGCAATGTGACTTTAACACCGTCAACCGAGACCTCCAGCGTCACTTTCTTCTTCTTGATCCCCTTGGCCTTGAACTCGTACTGAAAGCGAAAGGGGGGAAAAGGGGAATTAATTATTGTCAGTTTCTTGCCCATGATAAGCGAGAGATCAAGATCGAGAGAGCGAAAAACTCGCGAACATATATATATATATATATATATATATATATATATATATATATATATATATATATATATATATATATATATATATATATATACAAAAGATTTACATACAGAAGCAAATAAAAATTTATGCAAAATGGACCACTCTCTCGTTCGAGTTATTGTTCTCAAGCAATCATTAGAAATGGATATATACTTACGCGAATTTTCCGCATCGCCGCCATAATTTCCAGTCGACTCGTTGGACGTGGAACCTCCATAGAGCCAATGAACTGTAAAAAAAATAAAATGAAACAGAAAATAAAAAAAAACACATCAATTGCTTTGCTATTCATGAAGATTGGCTTCGAATTTACATACAAAATTATGTATAGAGAGAAACTGTTGAGAGCAAATTTTTTCTCACGACAATTTTGCCGAGTTTTCTAAACTGAAAATAAAATGAAAATTATTAAAACTTGTATAGAGAGAGGGAAAATGTTTTTTTTAATTTTAGAAATAAAATAGGTACTTTAAATTCATGCGACATTCTAAATGTCCTCAGGTTGTAAACATTTTTCTCAATTCTATGAAAAATATATAGGCCGATGGTTCCGACTGGTATTACAATAAATCTTAAATTTCCGTTCAATTTCAGGAAACAGTAAAATTTGTAATTGTTAACAATTTTAGAATCTCATAAGGATATTTTATGAATATTCTCTTTGGTAAGTAAAAAATTAGTTTTCTTGGAAAAAATATATAAAATTCTGTTTCTTCTCTAATATTTCAAAGAAAAGAAATTGGAAAAAATATTTCTATTTCCTTTTCAATAAGAAATTGAAGAATATTTCTTTTCGCATGACATAAAAGAGAAGTAACTTCTGTATTATAATTTTCGAAAAAAATGTTCTACAACAAAGTAAAGGATTTGAAAACATGAATGTCAATGAAAAGAATAATCTCTAAATGATAAAATGATCATCATACTAAAGAATTTCTGAGATGTCATTATAATATGAATTTTCTGTTCGCCCACAAACTTAAATCAATTATGCATCAAAGGAATTTCCTGTCGAAAAAAAATACCTGACTAGCAAATAGCGATAGTTAAAATTTAAATTGTTTATTTTAATGTATTATATCGTAAAACAAAGATTAAAATAAGATTTTTCATTTTTTTCTTCGTAAAAATAAAATATTACAAAATGTAAGAAAATTATTTTTCTTTCAATACTAAAGGAAGAATAAACAAAATAAATAAAAAATGGCAAAAATAAAGAAATCGTAAAGAAAGAAATAGAATAGTAAATAAATAAAAACTATACAATAAATTAAATAAATAAAAATTAATAAATTGGAAAAAAATAGAAAAAAAGAAAGATAAAATTAAAAAAGATTTTAATAAAAATAACGAGCTTAAATTAGAAAAAGAATGAAAAAAAAATGCTAAAAAAGAATAAAAGTTAGAAAACATTATTTTAAATTGCTTTTTGAAAAAAATTGCTAAATGGTTAATATAAAATCCACTGTCAAACTATTGCAAAAATATCGTGAAAAAAATAAATGATTATTCGGTCAATAAATTTGGTTTGAAATCGTAAGTGAAGACAGATGTATCATATATAAGAGGATGGACTGAGAATGAAGGAGATTGCTTTCGTCCTCTTCCCTCCATTTAAATGCAATGAAAGCAGGTTTCCAAATCATATGAACAAAATTTTCGGTCTTTCTCGGAATGAGAGCTACTGAAATAAACACGTGCAAAGTGCCGTCACCATGGAGAACATGTGTATATAGATATATATACTAGAGAAGAGCAGCGGTACAAAATTTCTATAAATATCCCTTGTCGTTTCTGCGGTTTTCATATATATATATATATATGTTTTTTTTTTCATTTTTCCATTTCGCTCTCTTCATTCTTGAGTATCGACCTCTGTTTATGAAAATTCATCAATTTTACAGCCGAGAGCTTCTTCTTTTTCATCTTCTTCGTTGACGCTATATTATTATACCTTTTTTTTTCCCAATTTATCACCGCAGAAAATTGAATTTAAAAAAAAAATAAACTTGAAAGCGCAAACTCCTATTAACTGAAATAATAAGAATTCTCGCATTTACAAAATAATTAAATATTTCATAATTAAAAATTAATATTTTAATTTAAAGAATAATTTAATTAAAATACTTTTTTTAATTAAACAAACAGAAAACTAAATTCAAACAAAACAATAACACATAAAAGTAAAAAAAAAAAGTGTAAAATAAATAAAGGCACAGTAAAAATTAGAAGCAAGGAAGCGAATAAAAGCATTAAAAAAATTTTAAATATAAAAGAAAGATTAAAAAAAAAACGATTGATAATTAAATACTCACAAAAGAGAATTCTTCTTCTTCGGAGAAATTAAGTTGTTCCGGTTGAAAGAAAAGATTTTAATCGGTTCGTTTGATTCGATCAAGTGCCAATTCTCAAGTGGATAAAATGTTTATAGGAAACAAGTATTGTATTATTTAATGTGTATCAAATTACCTTGGCGTGGAAAATGATACCACGATGGAACGTCTCGTCACTGTAGATTGGTATTCGCGTGTCGTACTCGTCATTGTGCACGAGATTATATTGCTTCTTAGAGGGCATACTGGGACCAACTTCATTCGTTCAAAATTTTTTTCTAGTCCCGCTGAAACAAATCAAAAAAAAAAATTAATAAAAATCATTAAATTAAAAAAAATTTAATAAAAACAAAATTAAAAAAGAAAAGTTTTAATAAAAGGTAGAAAATAACAAAAGTTAC